TGTACGTACGTCGTACAACGATGCGCATGATTAAAATCAAATCGGAAAAACCAAAAAAAAAAATTCAGAAGAAATTTTTTGATATTTTTCTTTCTTATATTTTTTCTCTGTAAAATCCGTAAAAAATCAAGTAAATTTCAAAAGGGCTTTAAAATATCTTATTGTAGCAGTACGAGTATATAAATAATTTAAAAAAAAATATTTATGAATTTAATATAAATTGAAATGTGTATGTAGAAATGCATGTATTATGCTCGGATTTATTTTGTTTTTTTTTTATCTCGGTTAAAAATCGTAATGCTCTGATGGAGGCGATGTAATTTAACAAAAACAGAAAAAAATGGAAGAAAAATCCGCGAAGAGTAAAAGTAAAAATTTTAAAAGATGGGTTAAACTATAGCGTTGAATTAAAATAAAGCCCGATAAAAAGGCTAAAATAAAAAACAAAAAGAAAAATAAAAATATTAACAATCCTTATGAAGCCTAATGATATTTATTTTAGGTTAACCATTGTATAAAAAGGTAAAAATGGTAATAATTACCAACATTGAAAGATTGTTAAAAGTAAAAGATGTTTAAAAAAAATTTTAATGTTAAGCTTTTAGAGGTCACGAATTTTAATTTTTATAATTAAATTATTTAATATTCTTCAGGTGTTATTTGTTGATTTTGTTTGAATTCATTTACCATATTGTAAACATGTGTAGGAAGATATATGGATGTAGATCTTAAATATTTTATTATATATTATATTTAAATATGTATAATTTGAATTTTGAGATTAATTTAAAATAAAATAATAAAGAATTTCACATTTTTATTAAATGTGAATTTTATGGTTTTTACTTTTAAGTTCAAATTAAATTAATTTTATTTCAAAATTTAAATTTGGAAAAATATGTTTTATTTTTTGCATTACCTTTGCTTTTTGAATTCATGTTTTTTTCTGATCTTTTGCTCTACCAAAATGTTAATTTGCATTATAATCAGAGCAGATTCTTCTGTAAATTCCTTAACTTATGCGAAATACAAGTCGTCAGCTTCTTCGTTGAATTCTGTAAATTTCAATGAAAACTTCTTTAATTTGTAAGAGTTCCGGGATATGAGGAAATTTTCTTCAGGAAATTCATAATTTAATTTTTTGTTAATTTTCTTATTTTTCTTCTTCCTTTCTGCTTATTTGTTTAAAAAATTTTAATTTATTAATCAAAATTTAATTTTTCTTATTTGAAAAAATTAAAGAAATCTTAAGGAAAATTCAAAGTTAATTTTGATTTAAAAAAATTTTTACAGAACAAAATTCAATATTTTTAAACGTGTATTTAATAAATATTCAAAAATTTTCCAAAAAAATATTTCCAGTCATAAGACGTTCTTTTACCAAATTTCGGTTTCGCAATTGATCTTTGTTCCTATAACCAGTTTTTGTGGCATTCTTAAGAAAAAACAATAAACAAACTTTAACTGTTTGATGAATACACACTTGATCAGTATCAATAGAAATAACCGTTAAATTTAATCAGATACAGCGACACTGCAATCGTACGTCAAATGTTGTCGTTGCTCTTGCTAAAAAAAATTAAAAAAAAAAAAGTTGAATATTGCTCAGTACACCATACCACATTATTTTTTGAAGTATAATATTTTGTAGGAAATTAATTTCCTTTTATATTGAGATTGTCGTCTTTGATTTTTTGAAAAATTTTAAAACATATCCCATTTTAATTCCTACTAAAAATCCTTGCTTTTGTTTTCCTATAAAAAATCCCAGTTTTCTATTTTTTTTCACTTATTAAAATTTTCATTCAAGTTTTGAACCAATTTCCTAAATACAAATTGTCTACAAATTTAAATTTATTTTTCACCATAGTGTATTGAACAACAAATTTAGGTTGGAGACATTTTTATATTTTGGTATAATATAAAAATGTATAACCGGTCGAAACCAGAAAATTAAGGAATCAAAGACAAAAACCAATTATATGCTTCAGAATAAAATTTATTTAATATTAAAATGGAAAATGATAAATGGTAAAATTCTGCAATTAATGTGCTGATTTCTGCACAATGCTGCTTTTTTACGATTTCGATTTTTATTTTCCTTATCGTAAATTGTGTATGTAGGTATGTATGTTTTGTATTGTTCTTAGTAGTAATTAGCTGAATATATTATGTAATTTGTAATGTTTGAACTAAAAATTCAAGAATCAGCTCAAAATTTAAAATTTCTTTAACAAAAATAATGTTAAACAAATTAATTTCCTAAACTAAAATTTGCTCTTAATATATACCTACATTAACAACATTATTTTATATATTGGTACAAATTTATTAATCCTCTACATAATACTATTTACGAATATACGAAATTTTATTTAAATATATTTTAATTCCGAACAAAAACATTTGACTATATACCAGAAACAAAAAAACTCTCAAGAGCATTAAATTAAAATTTTATTATAATAAAAACAAATTTTAATGTTACAAAATAACAATAATCTTCTATATAGTTCGGCCACAGCAGTATCTAAACATCAATTAATTCGATAGACATTTTTAGTCTCCAAAAAAAAAAAAAATTAATTGAAAGATTAAGAAATGTTATGCACAGTTTTATTATATTAAAAAACAAGAACATCCATATATTTAAATGCAATTTGAATGCTCCGATTGTAGGAGAACAAGCTAAAAAAAAAAAACAAATGAATTGGGAAACGATTGCTGATGTCTTGCATTTTCGCTAGATAAAAATAAATATTTTTTTATTTTTAAAACATAATATAGAAAAATGAAGTTTACTTTCCGCTTTTCATTAAACGTTTTACATGTTTTCATTAATAGAATCAAAGAGATTTTCACAGAATTAGAAATTTTAGAATTTCTACGAAGTTTTTTCTTTATGGCTATTCTTTAAACCTTTTGCAAATCAGGTTTTTTTTAGTTCCATTATTTGTCGTATAATGACTCTTAGTGGATTATACATGGTTATTTTTATTGTGCATGGAAACTTTTCATTCTGGAAATAAGATGCTATTGTTTTACATATAAATCCAATGTAAAAAGTCCAACAGGCTTTGCGATATTGGAGCCTAAAATCGATTTCTATATAATTTTGCTTTTTAATTAAGTCCTCCCCAGCGTTCAAACTCAGCTTTAACTTAATATATTGTCAAAAATATTTTTACTCCAAAGAAATTAAAGCGATCAATCTATTGGTAACGGTGAAACAGCTCCTCCTTTTCCAATTTGAATCTATAATTTCGTCAAATCCATACTGCTAAATATATTTATGGCCGTTGCCTTTAAAGTTGCAAATAATTTACAGCAACGTTTACCTATACTTTTAAATAAAATAAAATTTACTTATATTTGAAATTTTAACTTATACCAATATACTTGAACCCTATAATGATCAAATTCTCATTACAGACTAATGACGTAAATCTAGAAACTTCAAAAAATTTACAAAAAAAAAATACACGAAGAAAGAAAAAGAAAAATAAGCAATTAAACTTTACAGTTAATCTCCTCAAAAGACTTCTCATCAACACACTCACATCCGTTTTCTCTTTTTTAAATTATTGAGCAATAATTTTGAAATATTTATTTCAGTTTTGTTAAAATAAAAGTGAAATAGAAAAACAAACATATTATAATTCGTTCCATGGGTTTTTTTTTATTGTTATGTTATTCATATCATATATTATATAAGATAATTTATTTTAATTTTAAATGCTTTAAATCACTTGGACTTAATAAAACATCGCCTTCACAAAGACACTTGACACTATTAAAGTTATATTGGTACATAGATGCCATATAATTATTTCCACTGAACTAATTCGTAACATAAATCTAATATATTGTATTTTTTTTTATATTTCTTTTTATAATTTCTATTTAAATTTTGGGAACTGAAAGAAATGCATAATATACAAAGTGAAAATTATTGCAAACACACATACGTTCCGTTACGATGTTCAAAATATATTTAAAGGTATACAATAAGTGTTATACCACTTTTATATTGGACCATAGCACAAGCAAATTAAAAGTAGGCAAAAAAAAAATTTTTTAAAAAAATTGTATCATCGATAAAAATCGAAAATTAAATCGATTCGAAATCCAACAAAATATTATAGTCATATTTTTAAGTAATATTGGAATGTCAAAAAATTTAAATTGGAATTAGAGTTTAACGCATCAAAAGCAATTGTACTATTTATAGTACATACATTTAAACTATAATATCATATATTAAGTTATAAAAGATTGAAATGTATAGATTTTTTAATTTAGAATTCAAGTGTAAGTTCATGTAAATTACAATTAAATATCGATTGTTTTATTGACATGACTGCCGATATCGAATTATACCGCGATAATTTACAAATATGTAATATACATATATAAATAAATGAGTATATTACAGTACATTATAGACTCGAACATAGTCTAAAATGCCCGCTAAATTTCAAGTTGATACAGAAATGTTGCAAATCAATTTGTTCATAATCATTTCTTAACTCATCAACAATATGTATGACAGCAAAATAAATACGTAGTTGATGATTAAAATTAACACCAGTATGCTATTCTGCATTAACCATCATGCTATTAATTTGTTACATAAATTAATAGAATTTAGTATTATAGGTATCTACCTCAAAAGAGAAATTTTAATTAAAATAAGAGAATATTTATTGGGTTTCAAGAAGAGAAATTTCTCATAGCGTTTTAAACATGGGAAATTTTAATTCAATTTAAAATTCTTTGTGCAGTAACAAATTGTACGCATACCTTCGTACTGCAATAATATTCATTTAATTTTTGTTTATAATTAATTATTCTTTTTTACTTGTTCCTTGTTTTTTTTTTGTTTTTTTTTCTTAAGAATACCGATAATTCAATTTCAATAAAAACTCTCATTTAATAACTGTAAAAATGTTCAATTCAAAATTTTTATCATCACATTTTATTAATAAATTTCAGAATGATTTTAATCGTGATCGAGTTCAGAATTATTTTATTAAAAAAACTAAAAAAGAAAAAACGTGTTTATTAAATAATTTTAAAATAATTAAAAAAAAATTAAAAAAAAATAAATTTTATAATAATTTAATAAAAATTTTTAAAATTAATAATAATAAAACTGCTAATAATTACGTTTATAGTGAAAATTATAATAAAATTAATGAAAATAATAATAATATTAATATAATAATAATGAATATAATTGATATTAATATTAATGAAAAAACTGTTAATAATTTTATTAATGAATCTGTTTCAACAATTGATCAAGATCCAAATAATGATACAACAATAAATCGTGATGAATTAAATACGATTGTTCGAAGTATTTTAGTAGCACGTGCTAGAGATGGTGCTACAATACAAGAAATCAAAGGTATAAATTTTAAAATTATTTTATATGCTTGTACAACAGCATTCCAAATATTAATTTTTTTTTAAGAAGAAAATTTTTTATTCAATTTACGTCGATCAATTGTAATTTCAATTTTAATCTATTAATCTATAGCAAAAACTCTAATAATATTTTAGAATCATTGAAGAGCATCTTAGAAATTGCTTAATCTTTATCTGTGAACTAAAACCACAAGCAGGTATGGATAAACTCAGAAAGTATTTTCTAATAAAGAATAATAATTATTTGACTAAAAAACACAGCAAATTTTATTTGCCGTAATTTTTTTTTAATTACAACCCCTAAGCCGATTAAATTTTGAATTTAGGTAATAATTGTAAAAAAAAGAGACTTAACTGAAATTATAATAGCCCAACTTAACAAAGTAGTTCTGCCGTAAATGTGAATTAACTGAAGAAAAATTGAGTTTGAGAAAACTGCAAAAAAATTATTCTTACTAAACGTCCTTAACTATTACTATTCTTACTAAAATTTCTTTCATAACTAAACTTACAAAGTAATTAACAGTGTAAATGAATATATGTGCAACAATCAGTAGCAGAGTTTTAAATCTTCTTTAAGGCAATTTACAGAGCTGTATGATTTTAAAATATTCTTTATTAAAATAGTCTTTAATTCTCTTTAAAACTGAGAAACGAAAAATTTTTAGTTTGTACACTTATGTCATTGTATTGCAATATTATAAATATAATAAAATGTTATATTCATACATACATATATAATTGACAATAGCAATGTAGCAAAAACTATAATATATTTTAAATAAAGCATTAAGTATAAATAAAAATTTAAATTTTAAAATTTCACCAACACTAAACATAATTTTTATTTCCTACATACAGATGACTATTATGATACAATTGGAGAAAAATTTCCATTATATGATAACATAACAGATTATTTATTATCAATTCCAAATGTTACATGTTATGTTAATGAGAATTGTTGTAGAATATTTTATATAACATCATCAGAGAAAAGTCAACATATTATTGATATGGTTAAAAATCAAAAGCCATCACGTAATACAAAATCAAATCATCATCACCAACAACAACAACAACATGAAGAACACGAAGAAGAACAACCATTACAAGAAAATATAAAAATTAAGGAAACAAAAATTATTGATGAACTATCAACAAATTATAATAATAATTTAAATTATTATAATCAAAATTATATAAAAAAACAACAAACAAAAAAATATTTACAACAAAATGAATATTTTTCAAATAAAAATATAAATAATAATAATAATAATATAAATAAAAATAGAAATTATTTATTTCAAAATAAAAATAATAATAATTTTTATAATATGCAAAAATATAATCAACAATTTCATCAAAATCTTGAACAATATCCATTTAATTCAATATTAAATTATCAATTTAAAAAATATCAACAACAGCAACAGCAACAGCAACACCAGCAGCAACAACAACAACGCCGACAATATAGGAGTACTCCAATAAATGAAAATTATGAATATATTGATAATAATAAAATAAAAGAGATAGCTGATTATATTTTACAAAATAATAATGATGATAACAATTTATGTTACTTTGAGGATAATTACAAATATTTGTAAGTTTAAAAATAATAATATGTATATTTAAGATCTAATTGGTTTAATTATGACAAAATGACGGCCTAAAAATTGGCAATAAATAAGGCGTTTGAACATTTAATCGGTGGTTTATGGTACTAGTTCTATCTAATTAATCATTAATTTTCTAATAATTTCTTTAAATTACATCAAAAAATATTGCATACTTTTAGACGCTTTTCCAATACATTACAAACAAATTTAAAATCTAACCATTCTAATTATTCCTTATTTTTGAAATAATAAACAATATTCTGAATTTAATCAATTGAAATTTTATGGTATTTTTACATTACATGATTTAGTATAAAAATTGCTTTTAAAAGGTGTTACCATATCGAAAGAAAAGGTGTTACCATCATGATAAATTTTATGTAAAAATTTATCATGATGTTGCGTAAAAAATACCACAAAATTTATTTATTTTTATTTTTGTATATTAATAATAAATATTTTCAAAGGTATAATAAATTTACTGGATCAACGGAAACACTATCAACAAAACCAGCTACAACAAATAGTATAAATAGTTATAATAGTCATCAGGAATCCGAATTAATGAAAAATTATGATAATCCATATCGAAATAGAAATTATCAAAATGATAATGATAAACAAAATTTTGAAGATACAGCACGTATTTATGATTATCAATTATTGGGTGATGATTTCTTTTTAACATTGGCTAGAATCGAACTTGGTTGCAAATTCAAGAGAGGTAAAATAAAATAATTCCATTAAGTATATTAATGTCAAACTATGTCAGAAAATATGATAGAATTTTGACAAGATAAATGTCAGAAAATATGACAGAATTTTGTTAAGATAAATTGAATGTAATTCAAAATGGTAAATTTGAATAAAAAATTGTTCAATCTTTATGTGTAAACATCCATATATTTATTATAGCTCTTTTCCAATAAGACTGTAAGTTTAGAACTTTAACTGAATACCTTCCTTTACAATCAAATATTATTTTTAAATTTTTATTTTAATATATAAAATTTATTTAATTAATTTTTTGTATTTATTTTATTTTTAAGGTAACCTTCGTAAACAATCTGGCCATTGTATATCAGGTCAAACAATACAAGAAGCAACATTTCGTATATTAAATGAAGAAAATTTACATGATAAAATTATTATTAATATTGGATCAGTTGATATATTACAAGGTCATCATTTAATTGATATACAACAAGATTTCTTACAATTATTATTAGCATTCGAAAAACGTAATATTATACCAATATTAACGACATTAGCACCATTAGCTAATTCAGGACATAAAGCTGATATTAAAAAAAATTTAGAATGTTTTAATGAATTTATAAGAAATTGTGGATTACCATATATTGATATATGGACAACAATGGTTAATCAATATGGTAATACTTATTATGACTGTTATCAAAGGTAAATAAATATTATATTCCATAACAGAAACTAACATTAAATTGACATGTATATTTGACTTTTCAAAGATGCAAATGTTCTCTTATATTCTTAACCAAATTTTTCGGAATTACAAGTTCATTGTATTTTACGTAAAATTATAAATTATATTGCAATTTTTTTTTAATTATAATTTTAATTATTTTAATTTAATTTTAGTGGTGCCAGATATGTAACGGGTAGTATACATCCACATGTATTATGGAATAATGTTGGACGACAACGTATTTTTAATAAAATTAAATCAGAGCTGCCATTTTTATAAAAAGAAAATTATACTATAAATTAGGAAAATAGAATTGATCTCGTTCACGATTTTTGAATTTTAATGTGTTTGTGTACAATTTGTTTTAAGATGTTTAGTGTTCTTTGCCTTTTCTATACTTGCTTGTGTGATATCCGATTATATAATCAATTTTTAAAATTTATTTAGAAATATAAATAGTACAAAAGAATATAATTTAAATTTAATTATAATTTTTTAACATGATAGTTGTATATAGATTTAAAAAAAAATGATTTAATTATTTAATTATATTTTTTTTTCTATTCCAATTTTTCTGCACTATGAATCTTTTTCATTTTTAAGCCGAAATTAATGCAAAAAGATTCATTTTACATTAAAATTGTTTGGCTCTTTTTAAAATTTAAGTAAAAATTATTTTTCTCTTTTCTTTTTTGAATTTTATTTTCGGCAAAAAATTCAAAAAAAAAAAACAGGAGAAAAATTTAAAACAATAATACAAAAATTAAATTTAGCGCTAAATTTAATAAATTTTGTATAAAAATTTAGAATTTTAGAAATTGAAAAAATTCTTCTTTTTTTTACTTATATTTTTGTAAATTAAAGAATGAATTTTTTCAAATAAATTTATTTTGAATTATTTTATTTAAGTTAATTTATAAATAAATATATTAGAAAAAAAAGTGTATACACTATTCAATTGTTTTTTTATTTTCAAAATATACGAGTTTTTCATAAACGTAATACTGCAAAAGTATTGCAACCCATAAAGTACATATATGAAATATGTCAAGTTTGCTCAAAATCAAATTCGAACGTATGTCTGTAATTGAAGAGTTCATTTGAGAACGCAAAGAGACTTGAAACTTCACATAGCTGGATATTTTTGCATGCATATCCGTATTCAAAATGAGAAAGATTGAAACTGGTACCTCCCGTATAAGGTCCTGGTAGAGACTTAAAAAAAAAACACTTTAAATATGATGACAACACCTACCTACAACTTTTGTTTAACACCATTTTCTCACAAATCGGTTCTGATCTTTTTTTGTAAATTCAAGAACTTAGGTCCTGAGGTATGTCTTTTAAAATATTAGGCTAACATGGTCATATACAGTTATCGTTGAATGCCATTTTCATTCTTAATAACATTCACATTCATTTCGATGGCTGAAAAATAAAAGATTAGGTTGTTTAAATTTTAATTGTTAGCTTACTTAAAATTTTTGTCCAAATTTTGGGACAAAAGCTAAATTGAAAAAGAAAATTTTGTGTTTTTAGTTTTTTTTTAATTTATGATTGCATTTTATTTAAATTTCTTAATTTATTTACTTTGTTTTCTTTTCTTTTTTTTTATAAATATTTTATTTGAAATGTCTAAAAAATTTCGATTTTCTTTTTTTTTTATTATTTTTTTTTTCATATGTTTTACATTTTATTTTCTTTTTTTTTTTATTTATATTCTTCATTTATTAGCGAATTTTTTTTTCTTTTAATACAATATTTATATTTTTTTTTGTTTTCTTTCTTTTTTTTATTTATATTAACTAACATGATATTTTTATTTTGTCAGTAGTTTCAATTTCATTTTATATTTATTTTATTGTATATAATATATTTTTTATGTTTTTTTTGTTTTAATTTTATAAATTTTATATTTTTTTTTTATTTGTTTTTATTTAAATATAAAAAAACTTTTATTTTATATTAGTCATTAATTTTTTTTTGTTATTATTATTCTTTGTTTTCGCTATATTTTATTGTTTAATTTCTTTTTCTTTCTGTTCTTTATATTAAAATTATAAACAGTACATATTTTAATTTTTTAATTGCAAATTGTAATTCGGCATTATTTTGAGGTTTTAGAAAAATACAATTACACTTTTTTTTTTAAATTTTTATTTTATTTAATTTTTTTTTGTTTTTATTAAAGTTTTTATTATTTTGTATATTAATATTTCTTTATTTGTTTTTTTTTTTGTTAAATTTTTTATATTTAATTTTTTAAAATTATATTTTAATAGATTAGAATAAAAATAAAACAAAATAAATTATTATTTATTATTTTTCTATATTTATATGAATTATAATTAAAAAAAAAAATATTTTTAATAAAAATTTTAACTTTAAATGGAACAAAATTAAAAAAGAAATATTTAAAATTTATAAAATTAAACAAATTAAAGAAAATTTACGTACCTGGAATGAAGAAAATCTTTAAAAGAGAAAAACATAATATTTAAATTTGATCTAAAAACATTTTATATAATAATTTGAATATTAAATTGTACACAATATAGTGTAGTTAGGGTTGGTATTAAGGTAAGAAGAAAATTATATAGATGAAATAGATTTAAAATTTCCAAAATTTCTGCTGTATTTTTAAAATTTCAAATATTATTTAATAAATAATATTGAATTTAAAATATAATTATAATTTTTCTGTACTATTAAAATATAATTTTATATAAATTTTGTTATTGTTATTTCACTTTTAAAACTTTAGTACATTTGCCTTTGGAATAAAAATCTCGATTCATATAAAATTTTAAAATTATGAAAAAAACTGTAATGATGCAAAAAAATTTTTTTGAAATTCGACTTAGAGCTTAGAAGTGCATCTTAATAATTATCGAGAATCTTCTATTGTTTTTGATTTACCCAAACTTTTATATATACCCTGATTTGCCTATAATTTATCGACAGAAAATGATTATTTTAAAAACAACTATTTATAATTTTGAAAAATTATTTTAAATTAACTAATTTTTTTCTCAAAACATTTTTACTAATTAAAATGTATGAGAATATCTTTTGAACAAAATTGAATTTAGAATGAAATGAAAATTTTAAAGTAATTCTTCCTATATCATCCTACAGAGCTGTATTTTATTGAACTGTATTGAAATCCAAACAAAAAAGAATGAATCGCATAAAAATGTTTAAGTATCATGTGCACTAATGCACTTACAAATTCAATTTAATTGTTTACAATATTATTTTTTTTTTGTATATTTTGTATTAACTAATGTTAGTTAAATACCATAATAGGATTTACATTAAGAAAAAACTAGAAGTACATATATACCAAATTAAAATATGAAAAAAATTAAACTAACAATAAAAAACAAAGTAAAACTAAAATAAATAAATTTCAAAAACTTTTTATTTTTAATTTAAAATCATTTTAATATAAAATTATATATAATATATTTTTTTTATTGATTTTAAGTATATAATATATTTATGTGTATAATAATATAACTCACAATATGACATTATCAGTATTTTATATAAGTATTTATATAAGTATATAATATAATAAAAAAAAATCAATTGAATAATAATCACCACTATTGTAAAACTACTATTTTTAATTAGATGTAAATCAAATTTTTTAGTTAAAGTAAAATTTACAATGCAAAATAAAAAGTTTTTCTGTTTAATTTCTTAACATTTTTTTGAATTGTTTTTAAATTTAAATCATAAATCATTTATTTTTTCTTATTTGTTTTATTAATTTTCAATTAATTAATTTATACTTAAAGTTTTCAATATTTTAACTAAAAAAATTTTTTAATTATTAATTTTGAAAATATAAAATAAAAAAATTGTTTTTTTAATACGAAATTATGAAAAAGATTAGAAATACTATAAAAATTTTCTAAAATTACTAAATTATAGAACCACAAGTTATATATGTAAAATATACTTTTATATATTAATATGTAAATGCATTTACAAATTAAAAGTAAATTTTTAATAACATTTATTTAAATTTATTTTTTTTTTTTGCGTTTATTACATTTGAGATTTTTTTTTTTATAATTTGATTTTTTTCAATTAAGTGAAAACAAAAGTGAATTAATAAAATTTTAAGCAAAAAAAAATTAAGAACAAAACAATTAAACAAAGTTTTAAAATAACCACCAATACTTTTTTTTTTAATAAATTTTAATGTAATTATTTTTATTCTAATACATTTTATTATAATTTATAAATTAAGAATTAGCATACAGAATTTATATTACTCATTTAATAAAATAATTCCATTGAATTTATTTAAATATTTTAGTTAAAAAAGAAATCAGATAAAACGAGTTTATTAATAAAATGAATTTTTTAATTAGAGATCATAGCTATCATCGTTTTATTAAAAAAAAATTTAAAAAAATATTTTAAATTTTTAAAAAAGTAATTTCGTAGTAAATGAAAAAATTTTATTTTCTATAAAATATTTTGTTTTTATATATAAATTTATATTAACTCACAAACTAAAATTCATAAATTTTTTGTATAAATGGTTTTGTAAATTGAATTAAATGCATAAATATTTTTTTTTAAATAAATGTACAAATATTAATAAGAAAATGATTTTGAAAAACTAATCAAACAATAATTATTGAAATTCAATAAAAAACTATTTTAATTTTTAAAGAAATATAAATCGTGCCCATCCCTTATTTATTTACTATATGTACTTAAATAAAAAATTAAAAAATTAAATAAAGTAAAGAAAAAAAAAAGAAACAATGGCAAATATACATTATGTTTTTTTTTTTAAATAGCAATTGTAATACGCACAATATTTTAAAAAGTTTTAGATTCAAATTGAACGCGATTATTACATGATATAAAATTTTAAGTTAAACAATTTGTTTTAAAAATTAAAAAATATAATTTCTAAGAAACTTTTACTCCTTTATTATTTTTGTTTTGTTTAACACATTATTATTTTTGTTTTTTTTTCCTTTTTTATTTTACATAAATTCATATAATATTAAATTTATACATTTATATTCTGTACAAATATTATTATTTCTTATATATTTTTGTTTTTCACTTACATTTATTAAATTTTCATATCATAAATTTTATATTAATTTTTTTTATATATACTTTTTTTTTTGCTCCTTTTAAACTTATTTATTTATATATATATATATTGATTTTTAAGTGATCCACATTTATTTAAATTTATTTTTAATAGAAATTTGTCTAGAATATTTTATAATTTTAATAGTAATTTTTCTCAAAAATTTGTATGAAAAGAACTTTTATATTTTGTAAATGCTTGTAATCAGAATTTATAAAAATTTTACGAAATAATTAAATAAATTAGTTTTTCTTTTGTATAAGTACAAATATTATAAAAATGTAAATAAATGAAATAATTAAATTAAGAAATTTTCGTGTATATTTTTTGAAAAATTTGAATTAATTAGTATTAAATATGTGCGTTCATTTAATATCATTTCTAAATTTTTATGATAAAAAAAAACAATTTTTTAATTGAAATATGGCAGTTATATTTAAATTTTTGTTATAAGTTAGTTTTTTTCTGCATTCCATAATTTTTATAAGCTTAGAAATTGATATTAACAGAAAAAATAAAGTTGAAGGAATAAAGTTCAACTTATTCTGCAAATTTGTAATTTGTGAACACAATGCATTGAAAAAATTAATTAATTAATACTATTTGAACATTGATAACAATAGCATATTTATTCTTGTAATATCAACGAAAATGCTATAAAAAATTATTAAAAATAATATAAGAAATAGATCTCACGAAACAAGATTTTTAACATATTCTCAGTTCTTTGAACGAACTCAAATTCTTTGAATGTTCTGACAAAACTTCTATATTTTAAATAACTGAAATATTAATTATTACCATTTAAAATGATTTATAGATTTGCATTAGAAAAATATTTTAAAATTAATGAAAATTTTATGATAGCAATAGTTTAAAAAAAAAAAGTTCCAAAAAATTATAAACATAATTAAAAATCATACAAAATATTTTTATAAAATTGCAATAACAATCGTATCTAATTAATTTTAATTTGAAGAATTCTAATTTTTGAATTTTTACATTTATTTTATTTGCGCTTTTATTAAACTAAACAAAATTTAAAAATTATTTTATAATTTTATTAATTTACTTTTTGTTATTTATTATTTTTATTTTTTTTTTTATCAAAATATTAAAATTTTGTGGATCACCTTGAATGTTTTATTTTTCTATCATAATCATATATTTATATATGATATATTTATTATGTGCTATGTATATATATATATATATATATTATATAAAAAAATAAAAAAAAAATTATAATTAATTAATAGTTGTAAAAATAATAATAATAATAAAAAAAATGCCATCTACCAATTAGCCATTCCAGGCTTATTGAGTGTCATAAAATAGATTTGACATGATGAAGCACCTTTGGCACTACTGAAGAACACCTTATCATTCCTTTCACAAAGGAATTTTAGACGTTGAGCTTTTTTGTGCATAAATACGCCATCCAAATGTCCAGTTTCAACTGAGCGAATCTAAAAAGTTAAGAACAATTTCAATTTATTTTTTACATTCAAAAGAAAATTATATTAATAAAGGAAAAATAAATAATAATAAAGTTATTCTTTAATAAATTTTATAAAATTAGCAAATAATAAACAAGATAATTACCTCAATTGCTTTATTGCCCCAACCCATAATTTGTCCAGTGCCTATATACGCTACAGAAGTTGGCATTTCACCCCACTAAAATTAATTTAAAATTATATTAAAAATATTAAAAAGATTTGAAAACAAAATTTATATTGTTACAAAAAAATCAAAATTTCAATTATTTTTACCTGTAATACAATATTTTTTGAAACACGTCCACTAGTATTCACATAAACACCTTCATTATCATAACAAAGCAGTAGTTGCATTCCATTTGAATTTGGAAGAGCTACAATGCAATGTGGAACGATTGCACCTTGAGTCTATTTTAAATTTAAAAAAAAAGTTTGATTAATTTTAATACTAAAATACTATTCTCATCTTTTTCAACTTACATGTTTAGGAAGATAAATGTCATAAACATCAGCTGAATCTAAATCAACGGCATGAAAACCTTCAGCTGAACCATAAATAACTTTTAATCTAGATTGATCTTCAATTGTTAAATCAACAAGTAATGGTCGATGTTCTAATTCTCCAAAATTCTTGAAAAATAATAAAAAGAAAAATTAATTTTTTATGATAAAATTTAATTAATGATAATATCTACTTTAAATGCCATAAACTTGTGATATGGTTTTGGTGCCCACGCATAAATTTCAATTGAATCCTTAAGTGCAATCACAAGAAATTTTATTCTTTCATATTTGACTATTTTGAAATGAACAGCGCCTTGAAGATCACCAACATTTATCCAACCATTTCGTCTTTCGACTTGCTATAGATTTAAAACAAAATTATTATTTTTCATTAAAAACAGTATTGCATACAATATTACATAGGTATTCAATTTGAAAACCAAAATTCTTTCACTTACATCTGACAATCCATCAGTCCGTAAAATTTTTGATTTTAACCATGACAAATAATACACTCTTACTCGATTCTTTTTACCCGATATTGTAACCAAAATATTTTGGCCTTCCAATACTTCCATTTGTTGGAATCGCCTTCTTGATATTAACTGATAAACCTTAAAATAAAAATAAAAAATTAATTAATGTTTGCTTTTTAATTACATTAAACAGAATTAATGACGATTAAATATTTCATATAATTAACATACCTTTCCTTGACCAGAACGATCTAATAGCATTAAACCATTTTCAGTACCTATTAATAAATTAACACCCCATAATGCAGCACATAAAATTTCCGAATTGAAACGTTTTTTATATTTACGAATTTCAGGTGTATCACTAGCAGCATCATGTGATGTTGGCGTTACATTAACATTAACATGACTTTCACGACGTGATGATGAACCAGAACCACCAGCACCAAAACCAAATGTTAAGAAACTTTTCTGTTTCTGTTGCAATGCATATGCATGCGGTGGTAAATTTTGTAGTTGATGTTGTTGTTGTTGTTGTTGTTGTTGTGATTGTAAATGGTGTTGCCGTTGTAAATATTGATGTTGTTGTTGTAATTGTGGATTATTTTGATGTAATAATTGTGAATTATTAGATAAATTTACATTATTATTTATTTGATTATTTAAATTAATATTATTAATATTTGTTGAAATTAAATTAATACTACTTGAGGAATTTGTTATATTTGTTATTGATTGATTTGGACTATTTCTACTTGGCGAAGAAGACATATTAGAAGAAATAGTCGATTGTGGCGAAGAATTCATAATAAAAGATTTTGATGGCGTGGAATGCACTGAATTGTTGATGGCCAAACGATACTGGAAAATAATATTATAATAAAAAAAAAATAAAGAAAATTATAAAGAAACAGAAAAAAAAAAAGATTTGAAAAAAAAAAAAAAAAATAAAAAAAACAAAAATTAAAAGAATAATAAATTGATCATAATTTTATTTAATAGCAACTTTTGATTGCAAACAACAAAATAGCTTTTATTTGAAAAATATACTGCAATTGCAATTTTTATGAACTGCTGACAAATATTTATTTATTGGCATTGTTATAAAGTAAAATCTGCTAAATTAGTTTTTTAAATTTTAGGTTACGAAAATTTTTTTATTACAGATTTGACAGCTGATTTTAACTGAATGTAATGTAAAATGTAGTAAAAATAGAATGTACTAAAAATCTGGAAAATCGATTGCTATTCAAACGTATTCAAAAAGCTCATAAGATTATACGCGTAGTTTGTAAATGAAATCATTATTTTCGGTGTATGAGTTAAATTATACCTAAATTTTTTTTCATATTATATAACTTTTGTTTTATTTTTATGTAATTTTAATAATATGTATAAGAAATTTCAAATATTTTAATTAAAGGGCAAAAATAACGCAATCATGTACGCATTTGTTTGAGATAGTGTAGTTATGCTTTATTTTAGCTACTATAAGTAGTTTGAACAGTAAATGGAACGCAAATAATAATTATGAAAAATTTTTTTGACAATTATAAGAGCCATAATAACACAGTCATGGCTAATTGTATTGATATACATTTATTTAATTAATTATTATTATTTTTAGTACAAAATAATAATTTTTAATATAAAATTATGATCACACTTTCAACAAAAATTAAAAACAAAACAATATGAAGACAAAACAAATAAAAACAATAAGAACTACAGAGTATAAATTAAACTAATGTAAAACTAAAATTATGAACTTATTAAAAAAAAAAAGTTATAATAAAAGTAAATAAAAGCAAAAAATGAATCATTAAATACCATCTAAAAAAAAAAATAAAGTTAGTCTAATTAAAAAACTGAGGTAATTAAAAAATATTAGTCTTTCCCAGACGCCACTGAATTTTATTTAATTTTATTCTTTTAACTAACTTAATTTAATTCAAAGAACTCTAAATTTGAATAAAAAATAAATTTTTGAAGCAAATTTCATTTTAAATTAAATTTATATTAATTGCATTTTTTACAAATTTCGAATTTTATTGACTAAGTACAGTGAAAATTGATTTTTTTTTTGGCAAAGAATTAATAATGATTAGTAAAATATAGAGTTCCAAAATGCATAGAATAATATTGTAACTCAAACCATTCAAGCTTAACTTTGTGCATTGTGGAAATTATAAAAACAAGTATAGTAAATATAAGCGGAAACGTCACTTTAGTATTATCTGTAGAATCTGTCAATTTGGAAGCTTAATTGGATAACCTTAAATTTACAATTTTCAAACAATTTTTCAATTGAATACTTTTGCAAATGACGTTTCAGATTATATCTGGGTTTTTAATTAGCAAATTTAATTTGGTCAAATAAAAATATTTGGCCTTTTTGGACGTGGATATTATTTTAAATTTGACATAAAACGATTTGACATAATTTACTTTTAAAATAAAATTTTGAAAGTTTATTTTACAACATGTAATTAGTAAAAATTAAGTAGAAGAGCAGCTTATATTTTAATATTTGATGTTAAATAACATTGCGATTAACAATGAAACATCGACTCCATATTTAATTACAAAATAATTTTTTACGTACATGTAACATAGAACTGTGTTAGATTAGCACTATTTGGAAAAAAATTAAATTCCAATTGCATAGAGAAATTGATATATTCAGTGCAAATTATAACTGCAAGCACAATAATTAAGAGTACAATGTCAATTTACTAATGACACGAACAAGAAAAATACATATCAGTTGCCAATTAAACAAAAAGCATATTTATTTGAAAAAAATTTGATGAGAAGTTTTATAATTTTAATTTGTCGAAAAAATTGACATAAAGTCTTGACATATTCAATTTATTTTTTTTCAATTTCATATTCAACTCTCTTTTGATACAAAATTTTCTTTTCTGGTCCTCAACATTATCATTTTTTTCATAATATCTAGATGCTTTTATTATTTTTTTAATATAAACTATATTAATTAATTTTTAAATATAAGCAATTTTATTTTTTTGGAATATAAGATTCACAGGAAGAAAAAATGGGAGAAATTATAATTTGAACTTATAAGAAAATGAAGAATTTTTGAATAAAACAAAAAAATTAAAAGGTCGAAAAAATAATGAAAATAACTCATAAATTTCATATATAGTGTTCGAAAAATAAACCCAGAATTAATTTATAGTGCAAAAATAAAATTATAATTTTGAAAACTATAGATTTTTATACTTAATTAATAATTATATAAGAACATAATTTATTGGAAATAGGGGATAAAATATAAATATGTAAGTAATAAAAATTATAATTTGTACTGCTTGAAAATTAATTTATAATATGCAATAATTAATTAATTATTAAATTCCGATTTCCAAAGACAAATTTAAAAGAAAAATAATATTTTGAATATACTTACAAATCACATAAATCCTTCATAATAATGTTTTTATTAATTATATTAAAAATTACTTAAAAACAAACAAAAAAAATATTTGATTTTATTCAAAATAAAATCAGTTTAAATTGATAATTATCGAGTGGCCATCAATATTTATTAAATAAAAAATATTATAAAATTCATGGAAAGACAAAAATTTATACATTTTTCTTTTTTACACCTAAAAAATCTTTTCATTAAATAAGTCTATATCAAATTTTATTTTTTACTACTTATATTTTAAATTTTCTAAAATATTTTTCTTAAAAAAATTAATAAATATTTTTAATTTAATATTTAACTGAATATTCTAATTATTACATAAAAATTTGTAACAAAAAAAAATAAGCAATCGCTTAAAAGACAAAAGTGGATAACAAAATATTAATCACGAATTACGAGTACAACATGTTTGTTAAAATGTTATTTGTTTTATGAGTGAATTTCATATGTTAATGAAATTAATGCTGGCATTAACGTCTATAAATCATAAGAATCCAATAATACATTTGATACTTTTTGACATTTGTCACATTAGGCATTTTTCAAAATTTGATAATTTTTTTATGAGATAATGATTATGAATATTATGAATTTCATTTTTTATATGACATTATTTTTCGAATATAAAATAAAAATTTAAGCAAACACAAAAAAAATAACAGCTAATATCAAAAATAATTAAATCTTTTATTAAGCACATTTAAAATTTTCAAAACTATAAGCATTCCGATAAATATTTGATTGATTGAATGATATGAAATTACAAAATTAAAAATATTTTTTTATTATATTATTTTTCTTATATTTTATGAGTGGCTTCCATACTGTTAAAAAAAAAAGTTTTTTAAAATAGAAAATTCTGACGCTTATAATGTTTTGCTATTAATGTTTTTATTTTCGTAAAAGATTGTATTATAGCCTAAAATTCTTAATAGCATTCAAATCTAAACTCAAAAATACATAATTGACTTTATGTCAAATTTATACAAAGTTACTGAAATTGTTTATATTTTGAGACATTTTTTGAATTATTATTGTGAATATGTTTTCTCGGAAGTCAGAATATCACTTTACATTTCAAAGCGCACACAAAAATAAATAATATTCTTGCCTAAATTTTCATACTAATTAATAAATATTATGTAAGAATAAATAAAATCTTAATTTGTAAATCGTTTAAACGATCGTTTTTCTTTTCTTAACTAGTACGGAAGCCATTAAAAATAACACTTTAACAAAACTCATACTTATTCACCCATATTCATTTCGGTACACACACCACTTGAGGTTATGAGATATTATTGAAATGTATTTTGTTTTTTAGTACGGGAGTTCAAATTTTGAAACTGATTTTATTCAGAAAATTGAACTAATTGAAATGTCACTAACAAAATATGGGTGATTATTCTAAAGAAAATATCACATAAGTACGTTTTAAAATTAAAACTATTGCTTTTTTATGAATTGCTTTTAAACTCTAACACATTTTTTTCCAATAATTTGAAAAACAAAAAATTAATACGAAAATAAAAAAATGCATTTTATTTTTTTTTTTCTTTGTTGAAAAAAAAATAATTATTTGTACAACAAAAATTTTTCACTAATTTTATTAAATAAAAAAAAAAACAACAACTTTTTAGAAAAATTATATTTTCTTACCTCTTCACCCGATTTATCATGACGTGGTGGGGTAGCAGGTGAAGCTTGACTGAGTAAATCTGGTAATACACTGCTTGTTCGAGTTCCAGGTGTTCCAAGACCACTACTTTCACCACGCTATTTATAAATAAATTAAATTTTAATTTTTAGAATTTTCTTTTGTTTCTCATTATATTTTTAAATAAAAAAGAATATTATTAATAAATTTATTTAAAATTTTTAATGTATAAATGCTTAATTAATATTAAAACAAAAATAAAAATACAAAAATTATTAAAAATTAATTTAAAATTTAATTAAAAAAATTAAATTAATTTTTAAAATAAGAAAAAAGAATATAACATTAAAAAAAAGTTCTTTTTAAGACAAAAATATAAAATATAATAAAAAGTCAAAGTATGTTACAATTATTTTTACTTTTAAGAATTTTTGGTTAAAAAAAATAATTTTATATTTTAGGATTTAATTAAAATGTTCACAATTTAATTTGAAATGCTTTTGCTGTTGTGTGATTTTCTCAATTGTGTCAGAAAATCTCAAATAACATTACATTTATACACCAAATTTTTCATTACTCATAATTATTCCTCACATACACGTTCTATGGTAAAGTAATTTGACCACTATCCCCAACAGAAATTAAAAAAAAAATAAATTGAAGGAAATGCAAATTTGTACATGAAATTGCATTATTCAAACAATTATAATATTTAAAAAATTAAAAATTAAATTAAAATGAAAAGTACTACTTTATCGAAATAAATTTTTTACAGATTTATATTGTAGTTTTGTAAAAATTAATGATTGAAATTAAAATTTTTGTAAAGTCCTTGTCAAATTTACAATTATTTAATACTTTAATCCATTTGACCATTTTATTTATAATATTCTTATAAAAAATTTTAATTTACTTTTTAATTTCTGTTTCTAAATAATTACAGCCCAATAGTTAGTGTATCTCGTCTTTTTCATTTCGCTGTTTATTCACTTTTAAATTGGAATTCTCAGATTTTTTTTAAAATTGAAAATGTCATTTCATTACTCATTGGATTTTTGTATTTTTTCACAAAATATTAATTGTATTTGTCACTTTCAAAAACAAAATCAACTGAACAGTGAATAAATTTTTTATATATGTATTTGTTTTTCTAAAACATTTTAGAAAAAAAACAAAACACGCATTACGAAAAAAGGCTTCTCACTCGAAAAAAACTCATTTCTTTCTCTCTTAGCGAGTAAAAAAGAGCGCTAGATACACTTGCATTATTCAAACAATTATAATATTTAAAAAATTAAAAATTAAATTAAAATGAAAAGTACTACTTTATCGAAATAAATTTTTTATAGATTTATAGTATAGATCGCCCCCCCCCCCCCTTAAACTTCAAAATTGCTAGCTAATGTTTTTTTTCTTTTAAATTTCAAATTTAAAATTAAAATCAAATTAAATTTTAAACAAATTAATTAGATTCCTATTTTTGTTTACTCTTCTTACAATATAGTTTAATTTTTTTTTTAAATTTTGCCAATAAATTTATATAAAAAAGGAAGTATACATTTTCACATTTTATACTTATAAATTTGAATTTTTTTGTTTTTGTTTTTTGGTTTTTGAACAATTAAAAGCATAATTATACATATATTTTTATTAATTAAATTATATTAAGTATACATATATAAAAATATTCTGAGTGTTAATTTTTTTTACACTAAAATTACTAAAAAAAATTATAATTATCCGTATTTTTTTTACAATAAATACCTTTCCAAAAAAAAAAAAAAAATACAAAAGCATTAAGATTTTAGAAGCATACAAAACAAGAAAAAAAAATATGGGGAATGTAGTTAATTTTATTTAATTAAATTTCCATTTTCATTTTAAATTAAAAAAAAAAAGAGGAATGTTTTTCTTTAATTTAATTATTGAATTATTGAGTTAGTTTTCTAATTATATTTTAATATTCTAAATTTTAAAATATAAATAAAATTAAATAGTTTTTTCTTATTGCTATAAAATCTAAATTTGAATAAAAATTTTTATTAGCATTTCTAAACTAATTGAAAAAAAAAAATGAAATTACAGCCATTTTTTATTTTTTTTTTGTTATTTCTTATTTAATTAGTTCATAATTAGTTTAGCAAATTTATTATTATTATATAAAAAGCTATTATATTATAGTTAATAAGTTAATAATAAGGTAAGTAAAAAATTGTAAAAGCTTTCAACCATTTTAATAATAATTTTAATTTTTTTTTTTGTTTTCCACAAAAAAAAATTATTATAAATGTAAATTTTTTTAAAAATATTTTTCTAATCAATATTTTATGTTTCGTTTGTATTGTTTATAAATTTTTTTTTTAAATGTTTTAAAAATTCGAGTATAATCATTTTTAATTAATTTTTAATTACAACAGTTTTTATTTATTATTTGTAATTTTATATTGAATATAAATAATAATCAAAAGAGCAATATATGTTAATGGTTAAGTAAATGAAACGATTCTATTTTAAAAGACTAGTTCTTCAAATTTCTAGTTTTTAATTTTTTGTTCTTAAGCAATATAAGAATTAAATATTATTTTTTACAAAACCCTAAATTTATATTTATTTTCAAATCTATTTAAAAGATCCGAATTTAAGAAAGTAATCAGTTTCTTTATTGAAAATATTTTAATCAATTTTTGACATTTTTACTAAATTTTCTTTTTTTTTTCAATTTAAACACGATATCGAGATTTCAGATTCACTGAACAATATCAATACAATTTTCATAATTTCATATTAATTTTTTAAGCAATTAATTGATTTTATTTATAAATTTTCTTTTTTAATTGAAAATATTTTTTAACCTACATATTTTTAGCCTACATTTATCAATACGTATTTGATATTTTATTTTGCAAATCAAAATTAAATTTAATATTACAAACAAACAGGAATTTTTAAAAGTTTTTTCATATTAATTTTTAAATATTTTATAAATATATTTCCTGTTTTACATTTAAAGTATTATTAAAGTAGAAGACTATGTCTTTGTCAAAAATATTATTGAGGAGAATTTAATATAACGAATTGTTGTTTTATCAATATTTGTAAACTTATTTACTTGCTTTAATAATTTTGAGAATTTGAAATAAGTAGTAGAACTTCAAAAGTTTGTTTTATTAAAATTTTAATTTAAAACTAAAGGTAAGTCTTAGAGGAAATCAACAACAAAATTAAAATTATCTGAACCCTTAATAATATATGTTGAGTCACATAACATTTATATTGGGTTAATACTTAAATTTATATTACTTTTTTTAATAGTTGCAATAATTTTTTAATATAATAACAAAAATTGCTTTATTTAATAATTTACACTTTTAAATATTCGATATTTCTATTAAAAATTCTTCATTTTAACAAAATGATTATACTCTTATAATTTTTATACATTTGAATAATTGAATATAAAAAAAAAGTAATCTGTTCTTATAAAATATTTATTGATTAGTTTTTTTTTTTCAAATATATTAAAATAAAAATTAAATATTATTAAATTTTTGTTTTTTTTTTTCTTTTTCTAAAAACTTTGTTTAATTATTTTTTACAAATGGTATTAATTAGATATTTAATAATAAAAAAAAATAGTTATGTGTATAAATTTTAATTTCAAATTAAATTCAAATAAAATTAAAAAAAAAAACTAAATTAAGTAAAACAATAAACAAATTGGATTAAACAAAATAGTTCTAAGACTACTAAACTTAATGTCTAATATGTACAAAGAAACCGAAAAAAAAAAACCAAATAAAATATGGAAAAAATTAAAGCAATAAAAAAATCAATCAAATGAATTGGATGTGATCTACAGAATTTTCATATAAGATATTTTCAAAAATGCATATTCGTAGAAATATAGAGATGAATGGTTTTTAAATATTATATATATTTACAATAAAATTATACATAATTTTAAAAACAAAGTAAACCCAACTCTTATGATATAATTTTTCTAAAAGAAAAAACTTTTACGATAACAATAAGGAAAACGAGATTTTATGAATTTAATAAAATGGTACTTATATTAATTGTAATATAAAACATATTTTTGAAAAAATAAATAAAAACAACGTATTTTACAAGAGATATTAATTATAATCCTACAAATATAATACAGCATTATTATATAAATTTAATATAGAAACTATTTTAAATATTTTTTGTTTCATTTTCAATTCTTTGTATTAAATACCAAAATTTGATTTGCTTTGTAGATGAATTTGCAATTCGAGAGTTCTTATTTTAATTTATTATTGATTTAAAATTTTTATTTTAATAACATAACAATGAAAAATTTTACCGATTGCAATGATATTAAAATTAAAGGAAAATGTTTAAAATATTATACAAAAATTATAATACAGTTTTAGTTCTCGAAATTAGGAGAACTGAATTAATTTTCAATTATTTAATATTTATATTGAATTCAGTAATTTAAAAATTGTATTCTTTTAGTAATTACTTAATAACTATTGTAATATTACATTTATGTTCGCTATTTGAATTCAATATATAAAATGTTACTATGTATTTATTTGAACTATAATATCTTAGTATATAAAATTATTAAAAACAAAAACTTTCTATTTAAAATAAAAAAATCTTAATTAAAAAAATAAATATACATGTTTCTAATTATTTATTTTTTCAAAATATTGTATGAGAATGATTCTTAACCTTAATCAATTGAAAATAATATAATTATTTACAATTCCATATGAAAAAATAAATAATAAAATAATATTTACAACAAAATTTGGTATGCATATTCGAAAATAAAAAACCTAATATACAAAAGACATGAGTAATTTTAACCAAATACTAAACAGTTTGAGAAATTCCTTAAAGTAAATTAAATGGATTAAGTTATACAATGTATTAATTAATATGAATTGTTAAAATGTAAAGAATATAGAGTAAAATGTTAATAACAATTTTTTTTTTTATATAGACAATTGTATGGTAAAAAAAGAACTCAAAAAACATATAATTTGATAACAATTCCATGAAAATTTTCCAAAAAAGAAATTGCATTTTTTCAGCAAGATGATTACAAAGCTTTGATAAACAGTTGATCAAAAGAAAATTTTGCAGTTAGTCTCATCAAATTCCGACAGACAAAAATTTTGATCACATTACGCACTGAATTCCAACTTGAATATGACGAATGGATTTATTAGCCAATTTTTTTACACAATAGTAGCATTATAATATATTGGCAGTAGTTAAAACTAAATCATCGCAATATAATTCTTTATACTTTTGACAAATTCGTACAGTTGTTACATCATATTGTCATTGACCAAATATTTTACTCGAATTCACAAATAAATCCGGCGAATTCGAAATACAAAGCATCAAACAATCACGTTCGCCAAACCGATATTTTTTGAATTATCGCTTTTCCAAGAAAATTTCCACAAAATTGTATAGTTTAGAAGATAAATTGTTAGAAAACTAGTAAGAAGTAAGAATAATCTTCACAAATTAACTTTTTAACATGTGTACATATTACATTTATTTCTACTTTTTGTCTCGTTTTATGGATCGGTAATAAATATGATTAAAATTTTATATTTTTGTTAAAAAAAATTTGAATACAATTCAAAAAACTTTATACCATTATATTAACATAAAATTATGCATTTTTGAAAATAACATGTTTTTTTCCCTATGTTTTACTAATGAATATTATTTACAACCAAAATTTTTTATTATTTCTTAAAATATGTGCAAAAAGAAAAAAAACAGCAAACGAATAATTAGTAAACTAAAAAATATATTAAATTCTTTCATATATTATTACTTTTGATGTTAAATAAAAATTTATTAGTTCAGCACAAATCTAAAAAATAAAATATAAAATGTTAATAAGTATAAAATAAATTAATATAAAAATAAAAGATTATAATATAAAACAAAAATTTTACATATTTATATATTATTACATATGTACATACATACTTGCCAATTAATTGAAATTAAAAAAAAGTAAATAGCAAATGAAAATTGTGCCATTAATATTAATAATGAAATAATTAAAATTAATTTTACACAAAGCAAATTTATGCCACTAAAAAATAATTGAAAAAATAAATAAAAAATATGTACAGATTAAAAATAAAAAATGAGTTAATAATAAAATATTAGACACAAAAAAAAAATATTTTTCAATCTATTTCGAAAATGTTTTTAAAATATTTAATAGCCATAATCTTGAAAAACAAAGTTCCATCAAAATGTAAAATTTGAATTGTAACTTGATGATCTAACTAAATCCCGCCAATATATGTCATTTGGAAAATAAATGATTCGTTATTTTAAAAGTAGAGAGTTAAGATTTTTAAACATAACTTGTTTACTATTTTAAATAAACGATAATTGCAGAGCCGCAGGAACATCTTCTTTAATATATTATATTTAATATAAATATCATTTAACTGAGTCTTTTTAAAATGATTACCTTATGACTGAGACAAAAATTTATAATTCAATTTTTTTTTATATTCAAACGCAGTTGACACGCAACAATTCAAAAATTTAGAATTTATAAGTTTATAATTGACCTTAATAATTCAAATTATTAAATTTATAATTGACCTTAATAATTCCTGATAATTCAAATTAATCGAATTAAAGATTAAATAAAATTATTGAAATACTTGATTCAGTATTTGCAAGTAAAAATGAAATTTTGATAGCAATGTTAAAAGTTGTTAATAAATTTCAAGAAATATCAAGATACAAAATAAAATAGATTTTTAATTTTAAATATTAAATAAAGTTAAAACAAAATTATAAAAACAAATTTTTACAGCAAAAATTTTTTAATGAATTCAATGAATTTTATTCCATGGAGAATGTTTGCATCTATAAAATTCAAAATTTAAATTATGTATATACTTCAATCGAAACTTTAAATATTATTTTGTCATCTGTATAATTAAACAAATTAAGGAATTTTTTATATATAAATTAGCATTTCAAATTTTATATAAAATTATATATTAATCCTATTTATTTTAATTGCAACAGAGTTGATTACACAATTTAATAGCATTGAACATTTAATTTGGAAATAGTCGATATCAAGATTACTATAAAATATTTAAAAAGTTATTGTCATAAGATTACCGAAAGAATTATGGTCATTACCTAAATGCAAACTAATATGCAAACTAATTTATTTAACAATTAAAAATTATATTGCTAAATAAGTTAATTTGACGTTAGACTTGCATTTTGGTAGGCAGCCTTGTATATTAATTATTATAAATATTATAATTAATATTATAATTATTTTATTATATAATTATCAAAAATTTGTGATCATTTCCGTTCATCAATAAAATAAAATAAAAAATAATAAAATAATAAAAATGTTAATAACACACATAGAAAAAAAATTATATATATATATATGCAAATTAAAATTAAAATTTATGAAATTTCTTCTTCTTCATTTTTTCATTTTAATGATAAATTTGATGAAACAAAATTCTTGAGCTGTGATAATAATATGATTTAGTAGATGATGTGGTGATGTGATGTGATGGTGTAGTGGTGCAATAATTACATTTATTATTATTTATATAATATATATATAGTAAACATTATAATATTAAAATATTTGTGATTCAAACATTTAATTAACATGCTAAACAAAATTTAAGTATTTTATAAAGAAAATAGTAATAAAAGTACATTCATGTTTGAAAATTAAGATATTTAATTATATAAGAGATATAAATAAATAAAAAATTTCTTTGTTATTATATAATGCTATCAAAAAAAAATATCAAAATTGCGTTTTACAAATCATACAAATGTGTGAAAAAGTTAAATGAAATTAACAAAACAAAAAGTAAATTTAAACATGTGCAAATATGAAAAACTAAAAAAATTATTTTAATTAAAGGAGCTCATTATAATATGAATAATTATGACAGTAAACTGAAAATGTCAAATTATATTTATATAATAATTTTAAAATTAATTATGGTGTAATCAAAATGTCATGTAAATATTACATAGTTGTACTCGTAAATTGCCTTATTCAATTTATTTTAATAGATAGATTATTCTCCAGTTCATAAATATTTTTTCGACAATTGAATTTGGCAATTTTTAAATGATTTTACGTGTCAGAATATCGATATACAATGTATAAATTTTGATTTTGCTATAAATTGATTGGAAAGTACAATATTACGAATTTCGTTTTAAATTTTTGCGAATTTTGTTTTAAAATAACTATAATTTAATGCAATGTTTACATTTACGCTTTGACAGCGGAATATTCAATATTATGAAAACTATTAAAAATTTAAAGACAACTATTAAAAATTTAAAAAAAAATTTTAATATAATAAATATGTATACATAAATAATCAATATCAAATTTTAAAATTCTGATAAGTAATGAAATTGTGACGGGAGAGCCACTAATACAATAAAATTAAATTACAGAGCACTTGACATTTTATTACACCAAAATATTCAGTAAAGAATAATGACAAAATTAAAAATATGTTTGTATATATTTGTAAAAGTAAACTATTTATAACAATAAATTAACAAAAAAATAATCTAAAATAGTAAATTATAAATGGTAAAAGAAATCTTGTATTTGTATTTTTGATCAAATTTTTAAAAAATAATAATTAAATATTTAAAACGTTTTTGATCAAATTTAATTAAAAATATACAAAAAATTAACTTTGTAATCAAAAGTAATATAAGTACATTATATAGTTACTCTCACAAATTGCTTAAATTTATAATAACATTATTCTAATTTTAATAAATCCATTAAATGATTACTTTATAATAATTTTTTTGTTTTCTTTTGTTTCTTTTTTTGTTTGCAAATTGTTTCTTAATTAAAAAAGTAACTATTTTTTTTTTTATGAGTAAAGCTATTTTGTAAATATAATTTTTAATTTTCATAAACTACAAATTATAATGATCTCCATGTAATTACAAATATTTTAGCAGTACTTATTTTAAATTTAAAAAGGTTATTATAATATCGTATGTATTTATATATAAATGCATATAATGCAAAATGTAATTATATTTATAATATATGAGTGAATTATTATTTATTATTTCAAAATTGATGCTTAATTATTTTATATATCATTTGTCAAAAATTAATTAATTAATGAATAATTTAAAAAAAAAAAACAAAATTTATTTTCTTTAGTCCAATTTTTTTTTAATTTAAAATTTATCTTTATATTATATTATATATATATATATATAGAGAAAGAGAGAGATGTTGACATGTTAATGATTTTTTTTTTTTAGTTGTTTACCTGTTGTTGTTGTAATTGTTGAGCTAATAATAATTGTTGTTGACGTGTTGTTGAATTTTTAACAAATATAACTGATTCAGTTTTTTCACGTCTTGGTCTCAAAAAATTTAAATTCTTTGATGTTAATGTACTGCTCCAACTAGTAGTATTATTATCATTTGTTGATTTTTTTGTATTGTTACTACTACTACCACTACTATTACTACTACTTTGACAAGTAATATTTGTAATACTACTATTAACATTAGTATTATTATTACTATTATTATTATTATTACTTTTGTTGTTTGTAACATTTGCAATTGCTATTGTTGATGAAGATGTTGTTGGTGAATTTGAAGTACTTGTGTTATTTGTAGTAATATTTGTTATATTATTAACTAATTTATTTGAATTTGAATTTGAGTTTGAATTTGAATTAGAATTAAAATTTGTAATTGTAATATTACTAATATTACTATTAGTATTAGAAATAGTTTTATCATTTTTAGATAATGAATGTGGTTGTTGTTGCTGTTGTTGTTGATTAGATCCAATACTATGTTTAGTACAAAAATCTGTTAATACTGGTTCACCTTTATTACGATTACGTTGAAAAATAGCACTTGACCGTTGCTGAATTTGTAATGGTATACTTGGTAAATTATTAATATTTCGTTCACCTAAAATAGCTGAATGACGTTTTGATAATGGAAAAAAATCAGAATTTTCACGACGGAATCCTCTTACAAAATTAATTGGTAATTTTGAATCAGATTCTTGTCTTTTGTGATTTTTACTATTATTATTATTGTAATTAATTGATATATCATTATCATTAGCACCACTACTACTATTACGTATTTTATCTGGTGAACGTTCTTTTAAATTATTAATTAAAGCATGATTAACTTTTGCATTTGCAGCAAAAATTTCATGTTTAATACGTTCCTCAAATTTTATTTTATTATTAAAATCATCAATTGATATTTTATTTTTATTCTGTTGTTGTTGATTATTAATAAGACCACCAAAATTAGGAACTGGTTTTTTAAATGGTTGTATATCTTTATTACAATTATATTGTTGTGATGATTGTTGATGATGTTGTTGGCCGCTTCTTGGATTCAATTTATCAATCATTGATTCATTTGATCTAAGTGAACCATTATTACTATTTGATTGATGATTATGATGATGATTTAATGATGAACGATTTGGAAAGAATCTTTCAAAGTCCCAATCACGTAATAAAACTGCTTCATCATTTTCCGAAGCTGATGTTGATGATGATGTTGTTGATGTTAACGAATTATGTTTTTGACTTTCAAGTTTCTGTGTGTATATTAATACAGAATTTTGGGTAGTTTTATATATAGATTTAGAAAAACCAAATATTTTGTAGAGAAATTTATTAGTGTTTTTTTTGGCATTTGAATTTCAATTACTTTCAAATTTATAAACTTCAATTAAAATGTCAAATGCTTATGTAATCCTTTCTCTTTTTGCATATATGCGTTATGTCTAACACAAATTGATTAAAGAAATATTTGTTTTTCGTGGATTTTTATTTATTTTTGCATATTTTAAATTTCTTTTGATTGCTTCAAATGCAAACATATTGAATTTTAGTTTTATATTTTATAAAAATTTACTAACATTGCAATAAGTTTACATAGAAATAGTTAATTTTTATGCAAAAAAAAAACATTTTTGTTACAATAATTAAATTTTTGTATATATTGGCAATTTGGAATTTTTTTATTTAATTTTTTTTTATATTTTGCAGCAAAACTGATTCATTTGAACAGATAAAAATTTATTATTATTACTTAAAACAGAACATTGAAAAAAAAAATTAATTGGAATTTATCAAAATGAGCTCCAAAAATAAAAATAGCGATAGCCATTAAAAATATAAATTGAGTAAATATAATTTATTTTTTATATGTGTTGCTGAATTGTGAAAAAATTGTAATTTGTTATGCATTTTAGACTTTTTGAATGGCATAACGGAATAAAAAAACGGAAAATTTAACAAAAATATGTTAATATTATTATTATCGCACTCGTGATGCGTAACATCGTACCCACTATTACATCGGAATTGCAGTAAAAGTGTCTGTCACTCTACAATATGATGTGAGGTGAATTACTGCCCCTAAATTAAAAATCATTTAAAAAGCGCTGAATATACCCATGCTATAAATTTGCTTATGAAATTTTAACCACCCTGCTTTAGTACCTATTACTTCTTTTCTTCAACGTCCATTTTTATTTCAAGTTCTTACATTCAAATGTAGTTTTTGATTTTAATTTTAATTTTGTATTCATAACATTCCCTTTATTAATAACCTAATATTTTTTTTTTATCCAAATTTATATTATTATCAAATATTTTTGTTTATGATTAATAAATTTCTACAATGTTTATACGAAATTCAGCTTTAAATTACAATTAAGAAATTTAACAATTTTTCCAACATATAATTCAGCTATTTATTACACAAAAATCTATTGCCAGCTACATAGTTGAGTATTGAATTCCAAACACCCAAACATCACATTTAATGTATATTATTTACGAACAATAAAAATTAATTCAGTTGTTTTGTTATTTAAATTCAGCTTTTTCAATATTCAAATTCAGTTAAATACTACTAATACTATTATGTGGTAACACTGAATATTTTATATGCATATTTATAATAATTTTATTTTTTTTTTTTAATATTCAATTTAATTTAATTAAGAATTTAGTTAAACAAATTCTTCCTTTTTTTATATAATTTATTGGCACAATTTTTTTATACATTAATGTATATGTGTATGTGTGCATGAAAATGAAGTTGACAGAATGCATTTCATGGCTAGAAATAAAAGAATATGTATATGTAGACAAATGTGTTTAGTTAAAAATAAAAATAACGTTTTATGCATATTACGTAATATTATAGAATACTTAGTTATACAAAAATATTTTTTCATTATAAATTATTTATATTGTTATATTTCGAGAAATTCCTGAATTAAATATGTCTGAAGAATATTTAGAAGCATATATGTATATGAAAGGTTTAATACAAGAAAAACACGATAACACAAAGAATTATATCAGTAATTCGACTGAAGCAAATAAATCGTAGTGAAGAAGGAAACTGTTATGGTGACTCAACAGGAAGCCTCAGTAGAATTTGTATAATTTGAAAAAAGTCGGTGATTTTATATTCTTCCAAAAAAAGTAGTTTATAGAAATTAAAACAGCTAAAATTATTATTAAATTTGTAAGTACTGAATTAACTTTCTTTTCTGGTGAATTCATTTTGAAAAGACAAAACAAATTGAACGGAAATAAAATAAGGTTGTCAAATTTGACAAGTAAATGACGACAACTTTATTCAACTGGGAAAATTAAAAGCCAAAAAGAGAAACATGATTTATTAATGCTGCTTTGGTTATCAATCAATTTCTCCCGATTTTTAAATCCATAGCATTAAATTAATAATTTTTTTAATTTTTATTTAATTTATGAACATATTCCATATTACATATATTTTTTTATCATAATATTATATTAAATTGAGTTATGTAGATGTATATGAATGCAAATGCACATGTGTTTTTTGAGAGAATGATTTTTCGTATATAAAAAAAAAGTTTTTTCTAACTATATAATTTATAAAATAAATGATTTCAAATGCAATATTCAAAATAAAGAAAAATTAAATAATATTAAATTAATGATAATGTAAATTGTTCTCAATAATAACAAGAATATGTATGTATCAGTTTTACTACAAATAAAATAAATTATATTTACAATATTATATTTTGATGTCGCTTTTTTTAATAATTATAACAAAATATGATCTAATGTATATTGAAAATATAAAAAATAATTGAAAAATTAAATTGAATTATGAGAAAATATTAAATTAAAATTTAAAAATAAAATATATATAAAATTGCCATATAAACAAAAATAAAATTAAAGGAAAAAAAAATAATATTTAAGATAATAGAATGAAAATTAAATATGATTTGAGAAAAGAAAAGTTTATATTAAATAAATTTTATTATTTTATTAATATTATTTTAATTAATTATTGCAAAAATGTAATATGAATAAAATGATTTAATTTTTTTTTTGTGTCTTGCGAGATTGTTATAATATATATAATTAGAATAATACTTATTATGCGTATTTTAAAATATTGGAGAGATTTTTTCAAACATTTTATATACATTCAGGAAATTTAAAATATTAAAATCGGCGCTTTCTTCCTCCAAAATGTTAAAAGCATAAATATATGTCAAATGTGTCAAAATATCAAAAATATGTCAATGATCAATGTCATCTTAAATTTTTAGGATGAGATTTTTAGAGATTTTAAAAAATATTTTTTTAGAGACAACAATTTTTTGAAACTGTAAACCTATTACTGGAACAGTAAATAATGCAACTGTTAATAATAACGAAGGTAAATGTCAATTTTTCTGAGAAATGTGACAGTCACCCAAATTCATCACTCAGCACGCATCTAACGTTTCAACGCCATAAATTTACTTGATTCCCGATTTATTTTCGTATTATATAGAAAAATCTCTCCAATATTTAAAAATTAATATTAATAATCTAATGAAGAAACCATTATAAAAAAATTTTTTTTAAATAAAGAAAACTGTTAAATTTATACAAAAAAAAAATGCGAGGAAGAAGTGTAAATATTGTGGTTTAAAACAAAAAAAATAAATAATTAAATATAAGTAAATAATATAAAATATCTAATTTTGTTTTTCAATAAATTTATTATGTATTATAAATCTCAAATTATCGTATTTCATAAATTATCTTAAGTTTGTTAGCGAATTCATGAATATTTACTTTAATAGACGCTTTTATTTGTCCAATTTCAATTCACACTTTTGGAAAATTAAGATTTTGTACAAGATATTGAAATGATTTCAAATTTTGATAATTTAACTTTTAATATAATTTTTCTTGAATTGAATTGAATATTTAACATTAAAAATAGAAATTAAATTTTGACACATCAGAGTTTTTTTGAATAGCTTTCTAAATTACCAAATGTCACAGATTATGCTAATCGCTTATGTCAATATTGTAAATACATAATAAATTTATAAAATTCAAATTAATTTAAAATAATTTAAAATAATAATTTTTTTATGTTACAAACATTTTCTTGGTATTACTTCGAAAAAGATTTTTTCTTCATTTAATTTTGAAATTTTTTTTTGTTTTTAATAAATATATTTTATATTTTATATAATAAGTAGTTTGAATTTAAAACTTATATATATATATAAATTTATTTTTGATAAAATTTTTATATTTTAAATAAAATATAATGCAATAGAACCGCAACCACTTGTAATAATTAATTAAACAAATGTAGAAAAAAAAAATAACAATTAAATATTTTCTAATAATATTTTTAGAATTAAAAAATTTTATAAATAAAATTTTGTATTAAATGTTTTTGTTTTTTGTTTATTATTGGTAATTTTTATGCTCTATAAAATAATTAATCATATTTAAAAAAGAAAAAATTACTCAACTTAATAAATTTTTAAAAAACAACAATGATTTTTTCTAAAATTCAATTATATGGTTATGTAAGTATGCCCACATAATTTCTGAGGCAACCATTTGTAATAATTACATTTTATTAATTTTTGTCAAAATTAAAAACTTCCGTTATATCATTTAATTGTAATGATAATCTCTGCAATAACTATTTGGTTTCGTCAAATTATAATTTTTAAATTTTTTCATCATTTGTGATTTATAACGTAGGTTCCGAAATTTTGTACGATCAATGATATTAAACGAGAATACGTTTTTGTATTTACTTGACAGCTACATAACTGTCAAAAATTTTGGAAAGCCAATCCCAAGCTACAATTTAATAATAAATTATCACTAATCAAAAAAAAAATAAATAGATGAATTAAATCTTAAAGCAAAAAATCCATTAAAAGGATTTGTAGTATAAGAATTGTCGGAAAGAACTTATGACCTTTTCCACCAAACATGACAAAAAACAATTGCAGAAAAATTTTTTTTTTATCATCAAACAATTTCTTCACAAAATTTTCCTTTATTTGGCAAATAATTCCATATAAGATCTCATTCATTTTCAAAATGAAATGAATGAATATTTACAAATGATTGCCTCAGCTTTAGATTTAGTAAAATTAAATAGAATTATGTATGTATTTAAATAAGCTTTTAGAAATTTCAAAAAAACAAAGAGAACAAAAATAATGAAAAAATAATTTTTTTTACTAATTAAAATTTTGTAAACGAATTTCTAAATTATAACCTAAAAAAAAAAAAACATATGTATTTGATAAAATTTGTATTATATGCAAATATTAAGAGGTTTATTATATGTAAATATATGTAGAGAATTTGCAAATTAGTTTTCAAAATAAATATTTTGATATTTAAAATATTTTAATTGCAAATTCACCAATTCATAAATAAAATATAAGCCTATAAAAATTTCAAATAACTAAAAAAAATTTTTATTCGTTTTCTTATTTTTCTAGATCAAAAATTTTTATTACACAAATTATTAATAATATTAAAAAATAATATACACACTTAAAAAATAAATACTTTTATAAAGTATATATTTATATACATGTAAATATATATACATATATATATATACATATATATATTTTAAATTCACAAGATAAAACTTCCTCCCCAAAAATTTAATTTTTCATTAATATAAAAAATAATTAATTAAATTCATTATAATTAAGTAGATTAATAAATTAAGGTAGAAATAAAAACAATAAATTAGAAAAATTAATTTTTAATTAATGCTTAAATTTTTCATATTTTATTTTTTTTCATTTTTAAACCTTATTTTTTTAATTAAAATTAGAATTATTATATTTTAATAAAAAAAAAAAATTATGCAAAAAAATTAAACAAAATTAAGTTAAATATGAAAATAATTAATATTAAATTATAGGCATTTGAAAAATTGTTAAAATAATTTTCCCGCCTAATTTTCGATACTATCAAATATTTAGATTTTGAATATTAATTATTTATTTTTTTTTTTATTTTTTAAAATTTTGATTTTGCAGTTTTTAATTTAAAAATTAATAGGAAATTTTGTATTTTTTTCCCAATAAACGCTCTAATTTCAACTAGGTATAGTTTTTAAGAATTTCACCCATATTCTGGTAGTACAAAATCTGACAGTAATAGACGTGATAATTATAGTGGTACCAACTTTGACATGATTGCAAATTTCATATTCATCGCATGTGCTGTTACTGTAAAACTTTTCACACGACATGATAGTAGCTCTTAATCATCTCAATATTTGCACATTCAAAGGTAGTAGCAATGAAAGTAATTTAATTAATTTTATCTTAAAAATTTTACTCTATAAGTATTAGTTTTTATATTGAAAATTGAGTTTTTTATATTTCATATTTTAAAATTTTTTTGTGACATCACGCCATCTATTAGCACTATAAACAACAAAAAAAAAATTTATCGGCTCTATGGACACGACTACCAGAAAGAAATATTTGAAGTGACGTGATGGAATAGATTTCTCTATCACATCAGTGACGCAGCTAACAGCATTGGAGTTTATTATTAGTCATTGTTAACAGTTAGTATAAAGTGAATTTAAATGGTTAGTGCAGTTTCTGACCAAAATTTTAGGTCTACTAACAACAATACATTATCGTAAACGAGCAAAAATAAATATTAGAACAAAATCTATATAGAAAAAATATTTTCTAAATTTAACGCATAAATTACATAATAAACTCACCTTTATAAATCTATAATAAGCCTAAAATTTTTGAATGATTTTAAAATGAAAAAAAGTTTATGCGAACATTCAATATTTTTTAAAATATTGTGATTTAAAATTTAATAAAAGCTTTCAATTAAAGAAGAAATAAATTATTGATTGCAAAATCGAAAATTAAAAAATCTTAATTAACAGTAATAACAGTAATTTTTCAGTAATATAAAAAAAAATAATTGCAACTTTTTGCATATTAACAAATTTTTCATTGCCATAAAATTATTGCAAAAAAAATAAAGCATTAAATTTGTAAAAAAAAAAATATATAATTGTCGCTGTTGTCATCTTTTCTTTTAAAAAAAAATTATAATATTTTATAAAATATTCAAAAAAGAAAATTGAAATACTTACACGTTTCATTATCAATGTTCGATCTCCAGCTTGATCATCATCATCTGGTGTCGGAGGTAATGGTCTATTTGGTGGTCCACCACCACCACCACTAGATCCATGTGTTATAGCACCACCACCACTGGTTGCATTTGTTGAATCTTCAGAGAGGGGACCCAAGCCAGGCCTATATGAAAATTCAGGACTAACAGAATGGAATTCGAAACCAAAGTAATAAAAAATAACAAAAACAAAAATAACACAAACGAAAAGCAACAAAAACAAAATATCCAAAACAAAATATAAAACGAAAATTATAAAAACAAAAAATGAAAATGATAGCAAAAAACAATGAAAGAAATTGAAGTACGGCATGAAAATTATGATTTATGAAAAAAAACATAATAAAATTAAAATTTTAAATTCAAATCAAAAATTAAAAACAAAATTAAAAAACAACAAAAAAAAAAGAATGAAGAAAAAAAATTATGTTAGTATTTATGATTTAATGAGATGACAATCTAAAAATTATTACTACTAATTAAAAAATAAATTAACCCTTTCGTTTCCAAAAAAAAAAATTAATAATATTTTAACTTAGAAAAAATACTTTTTGTCAAAAACTTCTCAAAAAAGAAAATCTCTTCCTCTTATTATTGAAAATTTATAACTGTATTATAACCTCAAATTTTATAAATGATTTTTATGAAATGGCCGTGAATGTGATTTCAGTTTAATAATTAAATGTTTTTTGAGATTCTTTCTTATTTTTTCTTATTATTGAAAGCATTTTGTTAAACGTTTTTTATTAAAACAAAAATACCCTGACTACCATAGTGTAAAAACTGTGTCAACTTAGGCAAAGCATCGAGTTTCATATAGTTTATGAATAAATTCTGACGAAGCACTCTATTCCATATTATTTAAAAACCGTTTTGAATGCACAGGAAAAAGCAGAGGGAGCCTCAAAACGAAAACTTAATTTCATATTTCTCAGTCATAAACTACTTATTTCTGCATTAATTGTAATATGATTGGACAGTTTGAATCTACAGAACAGATCTACAGAATACGATTCTCTTTTGATTGTCTTAAAAGAAGAGCAATGCTTTTGAAAATTACTTTTTTGAAAAATTTAAATTAAATTTTTCAAACATTTCATGCTTTCAATAAAATTACAAATAAAGTGTCAAATTAATACCTTCGAATCGAAAATTTTCAATAATGAGAAAGTATGTACTAGTACAAATACAAACGAAAACGATAGGATTAAAATAATTTTAAATTAATTAATGATTTGAATTGAAATTTACAACTAGCATTCGTTTAGATTTTTTTTTGTAGTTGTAATGAATAAATAAAATAATAAAATCTAACCTAGTTTTGGATTTTTGTAACTTACAAAAAAATTACATGAATCAAATTTAAAATGAATTAAAAGTGAAAAAATTTAATAAAACAAAATTTAAAAAGTGCAAAGTATAAAAAAGTAAAATTAAAAACAAAGAAAAACAAAAAACAAGACACACACAAGAAATTGATTTTTTTTTCTTTTCTCTGTTCTTTACTTACAGTGGCTTCGGTGGATCACTAGCCAACAATGTACCATCATTACGTCCACGTTCATTTGGTTCATCTGGTTCGCTATCTGAATCACTACTATCCAATGGATCTAATGGATTAATTATTTGTTGATTTGGTGGCGCTGGTGCCGGTTTTGTTGGTGCAGCTGGTGTTGATGTTATAATATTATTTGAATTTATTATTGATTGTTGCCTATTATTACGTGGTGGGGCTTCAGGTTGACCTGATGATATAGAACCACCACTACCACTACCTTGCAATTGCAACTGTTGTTGTTGCTGTAACTGTTGTTGTGCTTGAGATTGTTGTTGTTGTTGTCCCGACTGTTGGGATGTAATACCAGAATCACTTAATTGTGCAGCTAACATATCCAAATCCTACATGATTTTTTTTTTTTTTTTTGGTTTTGGTTTTGGTTTTTTTTTTAATTTTGATTTTGTTCGATAGATGAAGTGCCAAGGAAATGAATCGGTGGAGTGGGGAGGGCGAAGGAAGTGAGATTTAAATGATAATTGAATTGAATTTATTTAAGTTTATTTTTAAATATTTCATTAATATTATTTAAAATTTATTTAATTTTATTGTTTTTTAGTCAATTATTAAATGTAACATGATTTACAATGAATTATGAAAAATATGAGTTAGAATGTATGATGAAAAAAAAAATTGATTTCATGTTTTTAGGAATGGAAACTCAAAAAAAAAGTTATTGTAATATTAATTAGAAGCACAGGATATATTGTGATTTGTTATGAAAAGAAAAATATTTAGAAAAAATGTTCATGTCCCAAAATTTTATAATTTTTGAAATATGATTAAGAAATTAGAAATGGATTGAAGTGAAGTTTTGCACTAGTGTAGTCTTTAAAAATGCTTTATGAAAGTTTATAAATATTGCTGTCCTAAAGTTTATAGCACCAATGCATTATAAAAAAAATTCTGCAGCTTTTATGCTTTTTTTTTTTTAATATTTACAAAAATATGTTTATTTTGTCATATTTAACAAAAAACAGACAGCTCATTTTTATACAAAATTTTAATGAAAGATCTAAGTAATTAGTACTTTACCGTTGAATATTTTATGAAACTTTATTAATTAATTTTTAATACCATTAACATATGTATTTATAAGAAAAATATACTCGATTTTTTCGATTTACTTTTATTTTGAGTATTAAATTTAGAATGAAACAAATTTGTAATGGTTACAAATCATCCCATTTAATACTTCGATTATTATTTTACCACTTAAACTTTTTAATATAGTTTTCTTTTCATTTTACAAAATCAAAATAACTTTCTATATTTACATTAATTCTTCGTTTAAATTAACATTTAATATAAATTCATAAAATTGAATTAAAATCATTTCGTGTTAGAATAAAAGTATAAAAAATAATATTCATAAAATAAACATTTATAAAATTGTTTAAACATTTTTTTTTTACGAAAGCTGAAATTATTTGTTAACAACATTTAAAACTATTTTTAAAAGCAATCAAAAATTAAATAAAATGTAATTATTAAGATTTAACTGCCATATAAAGTTTTCAAAAAGTGAAACCAAAACATTTTTAAACAAAAAAAAAGCATGTCGAATGAGGATATAAGTATGTTAAAGCATTTAATTTTAGTTTAAAGTATTTGTACTTATACAAAATAACAAATTTTTATTAAAAGAGAGTTAACATAAAATTGTAAAAAGTACAAATATGCATATATTGAATAAATACAAAAATTAATTAAATAAAAAGTAAAAAAAATTGAATTTACATTTATTTGAAGAACAATTTGGTAAAAAACATTAACGTTATAAGTTAGTGATATACATTTTTCAATAATATATTTATCAATTTTTGATTGAACTGTTTTAATTTTCATAACGCTAATGCATTTTCACATTAAAATATTCTAGTTGTAAGATACTGGCTTGAGTGTCAACTTTGTCATTTTGTTAAATAATATTTTTTCCGTGTGCCGATTTCATTGCTTTTATTTTGTTTCAGTACATAAATTGATTTTTTTTTTTACATTTAAATAATATTAATACGAATCCGCGAATATCAATTTTTAATTTATTCAAATTTGAATTGAATATCAGTTATTAATTGACATTCATGACAGCATCTTAAATATTTCATTTCAGATTACTTATAAAGTACAATAATAAGGGGCAAAAAACAAAGTTAAAATGACATAAAATATAACATAAAAGAAATGTAAACCGAAGAACCTACCTCTGGCCTCCTCGGTGGTAACTGGATTATTACATGATTTTTATATTATATTATAACATTTTTATACAAAAAAAAATTAACAAATTTTAATTTTAAAATTAAAAGCAAGGAACATTTTTAAAAATATCATTTCATTTAACAATTTTAAAAATCAAACAGGAATAACAATTTTTTTTTTTGTTTTACAATACAATTATTAAAGACAACAAACATTCATAATATCAAAAATGAAAATAATTATTGAAATTTAGTAAATAATTTATTTTTGTTTTAAAGAATAATAGTTAAGTATATGAAAAATATTATATAATAAAATTTACAATACAAATACCATTATCAACAATCAATAACGATTTTGGTTTTTTAAGAGTTTCATTTATATATATATATAATTTAATGAAAAAACAAATTTTAATATATTTGGGAGAGTATAAGAATTATACAACAACAGCAAACACAATTTACATGAAAATAAATAAAAAAAAAATTAAAAAATTAAAAATAATAATAATGTTTATTTTAAACAAAAATAATTATAAATTAAATTTTGTTTACAAAAAGAAAAAAAAAGTAAACAAAAAGTGATAAATTAAAAATTTTTCAATAATAAAATAGTGTTACAAAATAAAAAACACTGTTGGATGATTTTTTACATAATTTTATAAAAAAATTTATTTTTAAACATAAAATTTCATGAATGAAAATTATTATGAAAAATTTTTTCATAAACACTATAAATTTAAAATATTATTGAGTTTAGAATAACACATACCATTGGTTTAAACATATTCTGTGAATTTCTTTGCTGTTGTTGTGGCGTTTGTTGTTGTTGTTGAGCTCTTTGTTGCTGTTGTTGTTCAATTGATGATGAACTATTACCACCGCCACCGCTTCCATTACCATTTGATGAACTTTTTGGTGTTGGAGGTAATGGTCTATTTGCATGTTGTGGTGGATCTGGTACAACTATTAAACGTTGTGGTAAGGCAGGCCTTGATGGTGGTCCCGGTTCTTCTATTTGTTGTGGCCGCTAAAAATATTATAAAAATTTAATAAAATAAATTTTCATAAGGCGATATATAAAAATAAATTTGAATCCTTCATAATAAAATCATAGGTATACGTGATTAATATTAAAATAAATTAAACTTACGGGTTGCGGCTTTTGATTCCTATTAGGTTGAGGTTGTTCATTACCACTCGTTGTTTGTATTTGTTGAAAATTACGGCGTAATGTATCACCACCTGGTTGTTGTATTATTGAGCTTGGCTCACCCGCAATTTGTGGCTCTTCATCATCATTATCTGAACCAGAATAACGATAATCTTCACGTTCTTTTTCTTGTTTTCGTTTTTTGCAACGATCAATGTGATCTTTTAATTGAATTCTAACTTGTCGTTCAGTCGGTTGTTCCTTAATGAAAGGATGTTTTAATAGTTGTTCTGTGTAAGGCCTCTGATGATAGTCTTTCACTAAAAATATAAAGAAGATAAAATTTCATTAAATAAAAATTTTTAATTGTTTTGTTAGTAAATAAATTAAATACACACCATGTAAACTAATGGTCTATGTAAACTAATTAAACTAAATTTTTATGTTTCTATTACAGGAGAGGACACTTATTTTTAAAAATGAATAGATAAGAGATTCAACCACGTGCATTTCCTGCCAAATATTGAATTGATTCAAAAAATGAAAATTCTGTAAAATGTAATCGCGAAATATAAAAAAAATTCATTTCGTACAGTTACTAAATCTGGGTTCGAATTATATTCGTATTGGAATCCAAATGAAATTACGCTTATCTCTAGACTATAATTAAATAGAAAAATCTAATCAAATATTTTTTTTTTTATATTTCTTTTCAAATAATAATTTTGTTTTAACCTGGTATACCCTGTTATTTTCAAAATTTCCATATTACCTCATTGAAAGCATAAAAAAGAAATAAATCCCTAAAAAAAAAATCAATTCCAATTTCATTGTTAATTTAATATTATTGTCTGAGTTAATCCTTGAAGATAAAATTTTCATATCTTGTAATAAATAATAAAACACTAAACATACTGGGCCAATATTTTATTCTTTGTTGCAAAATTATTATTGTAAATATGAATTGAATAAAAATAATAAAAAATTTGTAATCTAATCAGATAAAATGAAATCTAAATAAAATTTTTTATTCTTTATTTTTTAAAGTTATTTCCGCTATATATATATGCTTGTACATATGTTAAAGTAATGCTTAGATAATTTATTTTTAATAATCAATCAATGTTATCAAATTTATAAGAATAAAAAATTGTCATTTCATTCATAATATATGAACTTATCGTATTATAAAATATTTTATTATTTTAAAATGTAAGTATGTATACGAAAATAATTTATATTTTATGATTATTTTAATGTTTTACATACATATGTAGTAAAGAATAAAGTTGCAACAAAAGTAATCAGTTAAGCGTATCGAATTAGTTACTTATGTGAAAATAATTTAGTTATTTGATGCTTCTCAATTACTGATTAATATTTTCTAATTAAATATATACATCAATAACATATTGAGAGTATTAACTTATCATTTATTAAAAATGAGTAAAAATGGAGCGCATATAATTCTAAAAAGAAATATAGGTAATAATTATAAGTAATTAAAATTTTATAAAAATTAAAAATTAATCGATTTAATTAAATTTTATATTAAAAAATGATATTCAATTTAAAAATATGAGAATTTTAAACTTAATTTAATGTCTTTTTAAAACTATTTTATCATAATTAAAAAGCAATTGTCGTCAATGATTAAAAAAATTTAAACTAACTAATAAACCTAAACTAATCAATTAGGTATTTGTAATGTAAACGATATTTGATAATTTCATTGAATAAAATTCATAGTAGAAGTATGCAAAAAAAATCTACTAAATATCAGTGTTTCTTACACTTTTTAAAGAAAACCTATTGCTATTAATAGATTTCTTAATAAATAAGTATCTCCTCGACTGAGATAGCGAAAAAAAACTGATTTTTACTTTTATTTTCAGTTTTCGCAATTACGCATGTTTTAATAATATTATGTTAGATCTTAACAAAATTTAATTTGAAAAAATAATTTTAAAATATTTATTTAGATCAATAAACTTGTGGAGGAACTCAAGAATTTAAAAGAAAATTATTAAATAAAGTAAAAAGTAAAAATATTATTTTGTTTTTTACTATATAAGTACGTCTTAATTAAGTTACAACATTTTTCTCCAATTCTTAATCTCATTAAGTATTAACTTGAAATACTTGAAATAAGAATTTTTTTTAATTTCATCTACTTAACTTAAACAGAACGTAAACATTTAATACAAAAAAAAGAAAGAATCTAAGCGTTAAAAGCTCTTCCTTTCAATCCTCTATTTTCTTTCATTTTTAAGTTGACGCTTTCAAAATACTTATGGGAGGTGCTGCTAATATTGGCAAGGAATGACATTAAAAATGTTAAGCTTTCCTAACTAAAAAATAAAAAAAAATGTTTTTTTTACATTTTACCTTTTCATTTTACCACATTTTTACTTGCTGGTTGTTTTTTTTTTTTTTAACAAACAATAAAAAAAAATAACACAAAATCAGCGATAATATAAACTTACCAAGAACTGTGTCAATGAACCCATGAAATTTTTTTGACCATTTTTTTGATTTAAGTCGTGGAGGTGAATTTCTTGGTATTAAAAATAATGCTCTCATCGGATGTAAATCACATAATGGTGGCTGAGATTCTGCCATTTCTAATGCTGTTATACCAAGTGACCATAAATCAGATCGATTATCATATGTTGCATCTGGATTTTCATCACATGCAATTACTTCTGGTGCCATCCAGTATGGTGTACCTAAAAAAATATCGAAAATAAATAATCAATTTAATTTTATTTAATTTGAAAAATATGGAAATGTAAAATTAAAGATTCTTTGAGGAAAAAAGAGCTGTAAATTTTGCATGAGATGCGGGTAATTTGCAATTCGAAAATTAAAATACTGTAATATAAGATTTTTATTTCAATTTTTCATAAATTTTTGATTTTAATGTAAACGAAGAATTTTCGTCATGGTTATATAGGTTTAAAATATTAAGTCATTATCCTATGACTAATATATTTAATTAAAAAAATATATAAAGACAGAAAAAGAAAAGTAAGAATGGCTTTAAAAAATTTGAATAATTCAAAAATATTTTATTTTAAAGTTATTTTTTGCTTACTTCATAAAAATATGAGGAGTCGTTAATAAAAAATTGAACCCAAACACTAGATTTTGGTATTTTGCGTCAACGGCTCAAATACTTTACAATTCATAAGTTGCTTCATTCTTTTTATAAAGTAAAAAATTTAAGAGCTTGCTTAACTTGCCGAACTGAATACAAATTTGGGGTAATTTTGGCAGGATTCTACTAACAAAACCTTTTAAAATGTTTGATGCGTCAAAAATTTTTTATGATTTTAATAAACGTGAAATTCTCAATTATTTTGTATAAAAACTGTTATGTTTATTCACAATAGTTAAAATCAATTCTAAATTGATATTTGACAGTTTCATAACCTTAAACGTGTAAGTATAATAAAATACTTAGCTCACAGAGAAAATGTAATAAATGACCACTTAAATGCCTAATTTGTAGCACTTAAATGACTATAATATTATTTTCATTAAATTTACAAGTTTTCATGCTTTAAAATTTTACAAAATGCGAATAAAAGCAATATGGATTTTGATTGTTTTTCAAATTTTGCACTGCCCTCTCTAGTTTAAAACCAATAATCTAATACAAACAGGAAGAATATTTTTTTTTTCATTAAATTTTTCATTCAAGGACGATAACTTTTTTTGTTCGATTAATAAAATAAAAAGCTTCCAAAAAGCATGTAAACAAAGTCAGAATTACATACAAACATTCTTGTTTACGTACATACTTTTTAAGTCGAGACAAAATTACATTATTCTGAGATCATGATCATTTTACCATATTTGGATTAAATAAATAATGTAAGATAATTTAAAATCAATAAATTAAGCATTTTTCATACATACATATATGTATATGTACAATAAAAAATTTTATTAATTTTATAATTTTAATATAATTGAAAATTTCAGTTTTTGATCGAACAAATAAGCTATTTGAGTCAAATAATTTACAGAAACGCATTAGTCACGTTTTCTTAATTTTATTTTTGGTTTCTGTTATTATTATTCCTATTTTATATGGCGTTTTCTCGTTCTAAGCTTTTCTAATAAACCACAACTGAGTATTTGATAGAAAAAAAAAACAAAAACAAACAAGTGATTTAATTTCATATGTTGTTTTTGTTTTGTCGGCGATTTACCACATACATTTAGCATTACACATAATGTACACATATTTCATACATAAAGTTTGAAATACATACGAACATGTTAAAGACAGTATATATTTACAATTCTGTGTTCGTATTTGTTACAAAAAAAAAAAAATACTCATAAAAAATGCAAAAAAAAATTGAAAAAAGAATCAAACGAAATCAGCAAATAAAATGAGAAAAAAAAGAAAAAACCAAACAAAACAATTAAAATGCGATGTCAGGTGAATAGACAAGGCTAAACCACAAAAAGTTTTCATTACACCTGTAAAATTAAACTATTGCAAATGGCAATATTGGAAAACGTCATTGTTTATATGAATTTCGTTTTCATTTTTGAACTCTAATTGTCAAAACGTGAAAAGAAATTTGTGAAAAAATTTAATAGGATAAGAAAAAATATTAAAAATTTTAAAATTTTCTTGATGTATTTTTATACAAACAGTATAAGTTAAATGAAAATCAAAAATAATACTAGAATGACAATTTTGACTCAAATTATGACAAGCTTTACTTTTACATACTATTTAATCTTAATATTTCTAAGGCGAACAATTTTTTGCTATAGACAATTGGGTTTATTTCAAATTTTATTTATAACTAAAACACTTGATATAGGCTTAGTTTTGTTATTTAGTATTATGTTAGAGGTGCGAAATTTGTAATGTACTTATTTGTTAAAGAAATTAGCAGATTAAGTTAAAAAAATTTTCTAAGTATGGATTATTATTAAAAGTGCTGAAGCTTATAATTAAAAAGAAATTAATGTTATATCTATATATATAACATTATATATATATAGGCACTTAAATATCATCACCAATGTCGACTACCTATATATATTACATATTTACTCTGTTAACTGCAGAAATTAATATAGTAATTCATAAAATCAAAAAGTCTAGGTATGTATCACTAATGCTTATTGTTATTTTAAGAAACATTATAATTTTATTAATGAGTGACTTCACAAATTTAACATTAAATTGAATAATATTAAAAACAAAACCGCTAATTCATTCTTGTATATAAAAAATTCAAAATAAATTATTCAATGTAACATAAAATTTCGTGTTATAAAATATTAACTTGTCATTGTTAATGTTGTTATTATTATATTCGGTTTTAAATATTATAGTGTTACTGTCAACAGCTGACTTCGTATTTGATTTTCAAATGACTTTTTTGTAATATTATTTTTTTTTTTTCAAATTTAAAAATAGACCAAATTTCAAAATAAGCCCAATAATTGATCTCATTTTGTTATAATTAAAAAATGAAGAATAATAAAATTTAATCAGACTGATTTTATAAAAAAATTTTCCATCATTAATCATTTGAATACCACAAATTTATAATATAAAACAATCAACGGATATAAAAAGCTATTAAATTCTGTGAAAATTTCTACAAAAAAAAAAAACAAATTATTTTGCCATAAATTTTTCTTAGTTTTTCTTAAAATCAAATTTATGGCATTTTTCCAAAATCAACTTTTAAAGAAATTTCTTTAATTTACATTTTATTTTTTATTAATTAACCATGTAAAAAATTTAAATGAAATAAATTAATCAATAAAAAACAAAATATTTTGTTAAAATTATGTTTTTATCCGACCGTATTGCATATAATAACGGAGGTGGTAGCATCAAATTTCGCATGTCAATTTTTCGGTAAATACGCACTTCTCCATGGTAGAGAGGCATAAGTATATTATTTTCAGAAAGAGTGTGCCTGTGGAAATCAGTTTCCAAAATTCAAATGAACAGATTTTCTCAATTATCTGATTTGTAATTTGCTTTGAGGATTAGACGATTTGATCAAATTCTGCGATATGTCGGGTCACAAGAATATGAAATTTCAAATATAAGCTCAGACAAAACGAGAAGCCACTCTGACCGTTTTGCCGAAATCGATGTCAGGAACTGAATTCTTATTACGGACAAAATTTAGAATTTTGCTCATATGAAAATTTTTCCAATTCAAAGTGTTAAAATAATGAACTTATGAATTTTTCGAAAATATCAAGTCTCGGAAACTGAACTTTTACTAGAGGACGATTTTGCATTTTTTATCATATCAATATTTAGTGAACTAAGGAATTCTCTGTTTTTCTAGTTATGTTAACTAGAAGCTTACTAGACTATAAAATTAAAAATAATTTTCATAATCTTGTGTAATATTTTCACAAAACTAGACAACACATCTTACGGTTGGTTCTGTGCTGACTTTAGATTTTTTTTTAATTTCGTCGTAAGGTTTTGTATTTTTCTAAATAAATATAAATTTATGTAATTTTAAAAATATATACATAAGCAATTTTTCATTTTATTATATTTCAATTAATACGCTCCCCCTTCATGCTATAATTACCAAGTATTTATCAACTTAAATAAAAATAATCACAATTGAATAAAAATTAAATATTTCAAATCAAGGAAGTAAGGAAATATGAATTCGTTAACTTTTATATAAAAATAATTAATAATAATTTTTGAGAAAATAAAAACAGTCATTCAATTACACTGAAAAAGAATAAAATATTTTAAATTAAAATTTTAAAATTTTTAATTAAAAATTAAAAAAAAATTCCTAAAAATGAATTCAATTTTCTAATTCTTTTTCCCATGAAATTGAGCTTTAATTTAAAAATTATTACCCAGTTATATGCTAGCTATTTAATTATAACATTACTTTATATATGTACGTATATATGTCATATACATATATGTGAGTGCAATTTAAAGCTATCATCATTCTTGTTAAATAATTTTATAATTCGAAAATTTTCCCACAAATGAGTAAAAAAACAAAGTGAAATTTGAATTTTAAAATTTTTTTAATTTTGAAATATGAATAAAATGTGAGTATTTAAATTTAATGGAACGTATATTATAAAATAAATTCAACGTTATTGATATTACCTAAATTAATTGCCTGAATAATGCAAATTGAAATTAAAACTTATACTATAAACTGCAAAAATTAAGATCAATGTACATACATTGTTGCCCATGGGCCCAATCTATGATCTGCAAATCATATAGTGACCGATTTGATAATTTCAAATGACACGAAATTACCAATATTTACTTCAACATATACTAACAGAATGTAACATTTTAATGAGAGAGTCTAACAGTTCACTCAACTCTAGCTTACAGCGAGAAAAAATGAAAAATTTTTAGTATACACAAATGTCAATTTCGAGAGAATTTAGAATTTTGAGAATGTTTACAATGACTACTTATAATTAAGTTAATTGTAATCCTTATAGTATATTGGATTAAATTCAATCTAATTAAATATTTTTGTGAATTTAATATTCTTTGCAACATGAATCTTTAGCGTTTTATATGTAAGGCAAAATAATTTTTATTTTTATTGCAAACTTTAAATATAGTAAAATGCTAAGAATAATAACTAATTTTATAAAATATCAGCAAGAATTAGAAGGCAATAGTTCTTATAACAGCTTGACTAACGTATAGTACAACTGACAAATGAACGAAAAAATAACAAAATTTAATTTTATAATAGTAATCAGAAAAAACGAAAGCAGGTTTAAATATACTATGACTTTAAAATTACAGTAATATAATCTTAACACATAATTCAGCAATAGCAAGTTATTGGCTGAATTGTATACTAATTGCGTTACAATTACATATTCACACCACTCATGTGTAGCCGAAACTGAATACAACTACAATGCCTAGAAGAAATACATAGATATTACCATATTACTGCAATTCTGAGGTTAAAAATATTGAAATTTTAAAAATATAACATACTTTTAGGCACTTGTCAATTATCTTTCATTCAATTAATAAAATAACAAAGCTATTATAGGGAGTGTATAATAGACGAGAATTGACTGTAATCACGTACTCGACTATTTTTATACAATGAAATTTTATATAATTAATTTTGTAAACAAAGAAATTTTTTTTTCTTTTTTAAATTAACTTATTTTAAAGCTGTTTAACAGTTGAATTCTTTAATGATATTTTAACTCCTGAGAATTTTGTTTTTTGTTTTAAAAGTTTGCAATATTTTGTTAACAAAGGAAGTTATTTTACTTTGTCTTTATTGGGTAAGCATTAATGATGCCGATTGCGGTGGCGGTGGTGGTGGTCGCAATGTTAACAACTATATGATCTGAGAAAATTAAGTTTTTGTTTAATAATATTTTCTTAGTTTCTTTAAAATAGAAACAAAAAAAATTATTATTATGACTATTGTTCTTATTTTTTAATAAAAAGAATAATAATTTATCAAGAAATATAATTAATGTATGTAAAATGTATACGTTCCGAGCATATTAAAAATACACAAAAGAATGTAGTTCTTAATAAAGACAAAACAAAATCTTTTAAATAAAGTAGCAAAATTAAATAAAAGAGAAACAAAACAAATGATTTTTCATTTTTTGTCCAAAAGCTGTTGTTAAATGTTAAGGTCTTTGTTGATAGTGAAAAACAACTGAAGAAGGAAGTCATACACTTAAATTTGTGTATTTTTCAAAATTATAGCATTCACAAAACAATTGATTATTTAAAGGTAATTAATTATATTGAACATTTCATTTTTTTTTTTCAGAGCTATAACTTGTAAGAAATTGAGAAAGTGTAAGATAATTATGTATATATATGTATATTCGAATGAAGTTATTGGAATAGCTCAGTACCTATATTTTAAAGTAAGTATATAGGTATTCAAAAACCAATATACCAAGTAAATATATAATTAACATACCAATAAATGTATTACGTCTTCCTATTGTTCGATCCAATTGTGCTGATACACCAAAATCAACTAATTTTACTTCAGCATTATCAGTTAATAATACATTTTGTCCTTTAATATCACGATGTATTACTTTATTTGAATGTAAATAACTAAGACCACGTAATATTTCACGACAAATATATGCAATCCATTCTTCTTTTAAACTTTGACCTTTTGTTGATTTAACTAAATCAGTTACAGAACCAGCACCACAATATTCCATAACTAACCATAATTGATCATCTTTACCAGGTGGTGATTTTTTAATAAATGCACCATAATATGTTGCAATATTACGATGATTTGAGTATTTTTTTAATACATTTATTTCTAATTTAATTTCTTCTTCTTCATCTTCAGTTACATCCATAACTTTAATGGCAGCCAATTGACCAGTCTTTGTATGACGACCCTAAAAAAATAACAGAAAAAAAAATTAATATAATATTTATTAAAATATTTTATATTTTATTATTAAATTGAATTTTAAAGCAAAAAACGATTTGTTTTTAAATTTTAAAAAAAATTATTGAAATGAGGAAAACAAATCAATAATTTTTTTTTCCTTATTCTTAAATTTAATGCAAATTGAAGGTATTATAGAGAGCTAAAAGATATAAATGGTAACAAAAAAAAAATTTAACATGAGGTACAAATTATGCTAATGTCATTCTTGGCCAGGTATAAAAAATATTTATTAAATGAGATCATAACCTTAAAATAATATGAGGGTTTTCTGCAATTTTATTTGATTTAATTTTTCTATCATTTTTAACACCGCCAATTTAAAATATAAATTTTTTTTATAGTTTTATTTAAAAATGAATTTAGTTTATAATCCACAAAAGTTGAGAATTGTGCTTAAAACGAAAGCATATTTCAAAATTCATATGAAATTTACATTTTTATCTGTAGCTGTTTACGAACGAAAATTTTTCGATCCAAAACCCAAATTTATTATCTTTAATTAAGTAGAAACTATTGACAAGACATGGAGCTGAATTTATTTTAAAAAGTTTCATTGGATTTGCACGGATTTAACGCATTTTTGACAAACGAATATTAAAAAACAAGAGAAATATAATCAGCTGATGGTCAAGCAGTGTTACTTTTAGTAAAATATTTTTTCTTAAATGGAAAAATACAGTGACTCTTACAAAGTTATGAATCCAATATCAAAATTGAATTCTTTAGACATAAATTTTAGGTGCAGATTTTGTTTTCCACATTCACAATATTAATAAATCAGTAAAGTAAGTATATTCTGAAATTCCAGATTGTCATTCACTCTTATCACTAATAATTTTTCAATTTTATTTTTGTAGTCATTTGAAATTAATTTCCCAAAATGAATGAGTGTTTTATTCTTTATAAATTTTGATTTAATCAGTTAGCTTATTTTAATATACAATGCTATCAGTGCTATATAAATATTATCATATGATTCATAATACAAATTAAAAAAACAAAAACACTTAAAAACCTCAAAACCGCTATCAAATATGTAAAATCAAAATGCAATAATTGAATGCACATTTTCTTATATGTTATGTTTATTTAGAAGTGTTGAAACAGTGCTCGTACATATAAGTATATATATTCCTTTATAAGTGATTAATTGGAAAATAACTTGTTGCTATTTTGCTCGAAATATTTTTCGAGTGATTTGAAAGAACACATCAATGATCGGGTATAAATATAAGCAAAGAAAATTTGAGCTAGAAGAAGCAGATTTTCAAGAAATTAGAAAAAGTCTAATACGATACGTACGGGTCCGATAATGTTTAATAAAAGCCATAAATCAATGATCAACAATTACTCATTTTCTCTTTTGAGTCAGCAACTGTAACAACCAGAATAGATGTCAAAAAATTTAAACTATGATATCATAAATGTATTATATGTCAAATATGACAGATATTATCACATATTTGAACACATTGCCATACATTCTTTATTTACTTTTTTTTGTCAAATATAAATTTTTTTCATTGTGATTTAATTTAAAATATGTGAATTTACAAAATGTATGTTCAAAATAGAGAAAGACAATTCATTTTAATTTTCTCAAAACCAAACGTGTACATATAATTATGTATGTGTTTGCATACGTGTGTATATATATATAAAAGAATTTAATTTGAAAAACTTGTAACATAAAAAATTCCCTTTTAATACAATTATTATTGAAATCTGATTTCAGGGAGAGAGATAAAAAAAAGTACTAGAGTAAAATTAATAATGGCGTGTGATTTTTTTTTCTCTTTCGAAAAAAAATTATAATTTTATACTTAAAACTACATGCAAATTAATATTAAGTGAATTAAGCATGCATTCAACACAACTTTGTAGAAATTTAGTACATTGTATTTAAAATTTATAAAGAATGTGTCAGAATATCGGTTTCATATTTGACTTATTTGATTTTTTCTTTGTATTATTAAGACAATTCATCTATAAGTTCATATGAGTAAATGCGTAGTAACTACGTCTTAATAAATAATTTTTGACAAGGTAAATAGTTCAACAAAGAAAATTTAATTTACAATATTTTGCAATATTTTAACTAATTTTTGTAATATTTAAACTAATAGTAAATCATTTTTAAATTTAAATGACATTTCATTCAACTGACACTTCAATCTGTTTTCCTGTATTCATCAGATGGCGTTAAGTTCTATTCCTCTCCTCTCTTGTGTCATATCCTCTCTTGTGTCATGTCACAGATATATCACAGAATTCTTTATGCACAAATTAGCTTACATATATTAATTATTAGGACCTTTATATACCTAAATCTTTAAAAACTGCTTTAATAAGCTATTAAAAAATTTTAGAATTTAAATAAAAAATAAATACTTAAATGAAAATTCAGCAAAATATTCAAAATAAATTTTTTTTTTCTTGGCATATTTATTTTAATAATTTTCACATATAATTTATGAAATTATTCCCCATGGAAACGTGTTATACACTATTAATTTAATTATCACAATTAACTATCATTGGTGGTGCATATTCATGATGTTTGAGACCAAATGTATAACTTGGTTGCTTATTACCTGGTCTATATGAAATTAAATCATACGCATTTGAACCAGGTGTTATTGTCATTGGTTTAAATTTTTTATATGCTAATCCTATTGGAAAACTGGGTGTTTTAGTTTTATAACGTTCCAAATGTATTGCATTATATGCAGCTGGTCCTGGTGATATAATATCATTTAACTTTTTATGTTTAATACCCATACAATAGGCTGGTGAACGTGATTTTACAAAATTAATATTAATTGAATGTTGTCCAGGACCTGGTGTTATCATTTTATCAACTAATACATGTTTTTGTCTTATTGTATAAGCTGGTGAACGATTACCTTTAAGTATTGGTGCATTATATGTGTCATGTGCACCGGGACCAGGTACTATTGACATTTTATTAATAATTGGTGGTTTTAAACCAAATGTATAATTTGGTGTAAATTTTTTACCATTATTATATACATCAACTTTATATGCTCCTGGACCGGGGCCAATTCCATTTTCATAATAATTTTTATGTTTTATACCAAATGAATATTGTGGTCGACGTTCTTTTCGATAATCATGATTGTTATAACCTAAAACTGTTGGTAAACTATATGCACCGGGACCAGGTCCAATTGGTTTTCCATATATTACTTTCATTTTTTAGTTATTGTTCAATGTTTTTGGAAATTTAATAATTTTAAGTTATTCTTTTAATAATTTCAATTATTTTTCTAATTTTGATTAAAATCTAGATCGATTGCCTTAAAAAAGGGTTCGCTTTAATAAGTCCGAAATTGTTGTATTTTTTTTACTGAAAGTCCAAAAGTTTGCCGAATTTGCGGGAACAATGAAAATTATGAATAAATAAAATAAATAATTTTTCTTTTTTTATTTGAATACTTTGAAATTTTTTACATTTTTACTTTTGAAATTTAAACGAAAATTTTAAATACAATTTTATAGTTCACTATGTTTAAGTTTTTGTAACCAGTAATTTTATTTCAAAATTAAGTTGATAAAGTGCTGTTTTCATTAATAGTTCACAATTCAGATTACGATTCATTTGGTTTTTAATGCTTCCTTACGGAGATTCATTTTTCGGCAATTTGAACATTCAGAGGAGACTATTTGGTTGGGCCCTAAAATTTTTGCTACATACTGATTATATTCAATTAAAACGACGGTGTGCTTTAAAATTTTTTATGCGAGACTGTGGGTTCCAATCTGAACTAAGAATATTAAATAATTCTATTAGATTTTCACGAGTTCTGAACAAAACTGTGAAAATTGAAGAAAACTGTGAAACTGTCAAACAATTTTACTCCCAATATAATTGATGTGACCAAAAATTCTCTAATATATCGACAACTAAACTAATTTCTTAACTATTTTTAATAATAAATAATTTAAAGAATAACTGATGAAAATTGTAAAGAGTATAGGATTTTTTGAAGCTACAAAAGACAGTTTAAAAGAAAAAAGTTTGGCAAGAAATTTTTTTTTTAAATTATTTTTCTTTTGTGTTTTATTGTTGCATTTCTCACGTAACAGTTGCATTATTCTGCATATTTGTATGATTTTCATATTGCATTGTAGTTGCAATGCAGAGAAAAAAATATAGATGGCGTTTAAAATAAATTTTGCATCATAATGCAGTTTATTTTTCTTTTATTTTTATTTTTCTTTTTCCAGGTTTTATATTTGTGATTTTTTCCGATTTTAACATCATAGATGAGGAAATTTTTTTAACTAAACACTTTAAAAGCACCACCATTTCCAACGTTTATTTATTTATTTATTTATTCATTGTTAACAAAATTATAAAATTTTACAAAAACGTAAAATATGCAATGAGTCCACTATGTGGTTTTTTTCGTGGTTTTGAACATAAGAAAGGAGGAAAACATAGTGTTCTTTTCATATTAATTAAAAAAAGAATTGTGTCACGTTTACAATTCAAAATTATATGATTAAGTCATATTGTTTTGCTTATATAGAGAACTCTTCAAAATTCATGGGAATAAATTGTATATTGTCTGGCATTCTCTTATTTGAGGGCGAAAGAGCCAACTAACAGCTCTCACGTGTAGTCTATTAACTCATATGAATTCAGCTGTCATACCAAGTCATTGATGACTAATGAGTCTTTGGACGCATTTGATAATCCTGCATTCTTTTAAAATTATTAAAAAAATTCTAGAAATTAAAGACGTAATCAAAACTCTAAATACAACTAAAATAAATTCTATTTTCTGTAGATTTTATTAAAAAATGAAAACTTCAAGTTGAAGTCAAATGTTTAATTTGGTACACATCCTGCCCTCTCTTTCTATACGATTTTTTTAATGAGTTCTCTTTAATATAGCGATCTGTCAATTTCATACAATTTCAAAGCTATATGAAACGTAATACTTTACAGAAGATTTTTTGCAATCAAAAAGCTTTCCTTTGTTTTTTAAAATTTGGGGCTCATCGATTGTCAAATCTGACAAACGGTCAGATTTAAGTTATCAAGCATGTTCTTTTTAAAAATTATACTAAAATTTTAGATAATGACAAAATTATTTTTGAAAAAAAAATTTGATACTTAATAACACGCGTGTATAATTAAAAGAAAAAAACAAAAATAAAAATACACAGTGCAAGAAGATATACGCGAGTTACCCACTAAATTCATTATTTTTTATTTTTTTTTGTTGTATTGACAAAAAACATGTTATTTATTGTGTATTTAATTTTTTTTTCATTGTTTCAAATTTTTTTTTCTATTTTACAAAATTTATTTTTTTTAAAAATTAAGCAATTTTTGGATAGCGTCCAATAAACAAGAAAATTTTCTTTGCCAATAGAATATCGGAAATAAAAACAAAATGATGTGAAGTTCATTGCTTTCTATATATAACAAGAGAAAAAATTAGTAGGAGGAAGAGGAAGAATAATTTAGTATCTAAGTAAAATTTATAACAAATACGATAATAATATGTAATAAATAAAAAGTTATAATTTTAATAAAAATTAGATTTGGTAAAGGCTACGAAATAAATCCTATCCTACAGCAGTCATGATTTAAATTTTATGCATACTTATTCAGTTTGTATACCAGGTATAAGTGTATCAGAATAAACTGCTCATGGAAAAAAATTTTCCTTGTACAATAGATCCTTATACGCAATCGTGATGTACTGTTGCCCCAGTTTGAAAAAATCTACAAATAGTTGAGTAACGTAAAACAGCTACATTCATGCCTATAAGTATGCAATTATTTTTTATAATTCAACCCTCCCAAATCATTTACAATTCATATTTCATTTCTTCTAAATCAAACTGTCGCCTACTGTTGTCTAATCTTTAAAATATGTACATACTTTTCTAAACATTTTTACTTGCATTTCAAATTAAGTACATATATAAAAAATTTCAAATTATATATTTTAATATTGAATATTATTTCTATTTTATAAAGAGGAAGAAGTATTCTTTGTACTTCAGCAACTAGAAACTGGACAAAATATAATTTGTGTAACTGTAGCCAATGATTCTTATGCATTTGATTACTCACCTTTTTGTACCAGAAAAAAGAAAAAAGCAAATATAAAAGAAAAAATAAATAAAAAAAAAAATCGTCCAGACAGAAAATAATTCTTGTGAATTTAAATTTGGCCATTATAATTCTAAACTTTATAATTTAAGTTTAAAGAAAGAAAAGGATAGAAACAGAAGAAACATAAAAAAGTAAAAAATAAAAATTTTAAGCTCGAATGATTATTTATCAGTACTGTTTTTTTTTTTTAATTTCTTATATAAAAGTAGTTATGTGTTTTAATATACATATACTTATATACATTTGTGTTATAATTTCACAAACACACGTATATACTTACGGTATTTTTTTAGTATTGTTTTCTTTATAGAAGGGGAGGTACACATGGGGGTTTTTAGTCTACATTTTAAATGCATTGTACACTTTGTATGTTTGTATGCATATGTATATTGAAAATTTAAGAAAAATAACAACTGGATCGAAACAGAAAATAAAATCACAAATCTCCCTATCTATCTTTATTTCTACATACAAACATACATATATCTTTCTTCTTTATTTCTATTGTTATTGGATGTTCTTATTGTTTTTTTTTTCTCTCTCGTTTTTCTTATTATATTTTTTCATTCTTTAATATTAAATACAACAAAAGTAATCAGTTTCAGTTCATTCTCTACAACAATAGTTCACTTCATTACAAAATATGTAGTAAAGACATACTGATACATTTTCATCTTTCATGCATTACAAACATAGTTGCCTCATAAAATTTAACTTAGAATGAATAACAATAAAATAGAAAGAGATAGAGAAAACAAAACAAAAAATAAGAGAAATAAAATATTAAATAATTTATTGAGAAAAATACATTGTACAGAACTACATACATCGATGTATGATTGTGTATTTATATATATGTAAATATATAATTTATCCATATATGAACTCTTTTTTTCTTGAGATATTTAATTTTGAGAAAAAAAATTAATAAATAAACTTGAGTATGGTACGTAACTTCCTCGATCTATTTAAATTGTTATCGATTCATTAGCTTCGATTGTCAAAAATAGGTAGCGCTAATTTTATTTTTTGTCAACAATTTGACAATTGTCATTTCAACGAATGTAAATGAATATTAAAATATTGAGTTTATTGATAAATAGAAATTTTCCGAATATTAGTCGGTAATTAATATTTCGTTATATAAGTTATCAGCATAGCATTACATTTACTATCGTCTAATTTGTTCTTTGGGGCGTTCATCGGCGTTCTCTAGGATATTTGTGTAAGGATAACAAATTAACGTCGAATTGAATTCGTATTTTATGAGGGATTTATTAGGAACAATCAAGCAAACCCAAAAGCAATATAAATTTTTGAAACACACATAAGCACTAATTTAGAAAATTATTATTTTTATATTTTACGAAAATTTACTAGATTAATAAATTAAGCAAGAAAATTTAAAATACCAATAATGTGCAGAATTCGTAATACATACTAAATACTTAAAAATTATTTTATTAAATTCTTTATTTACTCTCTTCATTTAAGTGTCGAGAAAATTTAATATAAGAAAGCAATAATTATAATAAAAAGGGCTAAATTAATGTACGTATATTTACTTTTTACATACATATATACATGCAATAAAACATATAAATATACACACATAGGTATGTTTATTAATAAAAATTATGTATTTAAATCAGAAGAAAAGAACTAAATGAGTGAATCATTTACTTCTCTATTCTATTTGATCTCTCACATGATTGATCACGTCGAAAAGGGTGTTAATTGAATAAATAGACGCTTCAAATTTGTCTTTTTTTTTCTAATTTAATTTGTTTATGAACATGTTATATACAAATTGTCACATATTAACTCACATCTAATATTATGTTGTGTGCAAACACATTGAAACAAAAAAATGTTAACGTGTCTATGTAAAGTAATTCATCTTTTCACCTGATTAATTGATTAAAAAAAATTTTTAAGTTCTGCATAAATCTTTGTAGAGTACCTGATTAAAATATCGGAAAATCTAGCAACGTATGTATATCATTTTCCCATATTTCACAATTAATTTCAAAAAAACGATTCCCGGTTTTATCAACACATATGAAGAAGCAATAGTAAGAGAAGGGAACATATAACATATTACACCCAACAGGAATTATCCGATAT